CACTCTTATAACCAAATGACACCCTGAGGCACATGGAGGTTGGCCACTGCTGGCCTCTCAACTAAATGGGCCCAGACTGATGGGCTTTGTGGAGTTCCTGGCTCTGTGTTTTATAGGGACCTATTTCTCTTCATGGGCTGTTCCTGCTGCTCTTAGTACTGGTGGCCTCAGCGGTGCCTCCCACCTCTCTCCTTTGCTGCGCTCATGCAAACATTGCTTTAATGCCCACACTACCAGTGGCAGTCTATTCTTCTTAGCACCATAACCAAAGTATTTTCAATTCCAAGTTTGAAGAGCTTACCAGCTCAAGGGGAAAAAATGTGCATTTATTATAAGGTTATGGGGGTGACCTCAAGGGCAAAGGTGAACCAAGGGGGAAGAACCAGGGCGCAGAAACTCAGAAAAACCAGAGGCCATTTTCTTAGCCTCTCGCACCTCTGTGCCCCTTTGCCCATCTGTGTCATTCTTTGGTTCTGCAGACTCCTCTCCTTGGTTTCTCCGCCCAGATGACTCTGCCCTGGCCCTGGCCAGGTAGCTCAGCTGGTTAGAGCACTGTCCCGATACCCCAAGGTTGCGGGTTCGATCCCCAGCCAGGGCAAGAATCAACCAATGAATGCATAAATAAGTGGAACAACAAATTGATGTTTCTCTCTCCCTTCCTCTCTTTAAAATCAATAAATTAAAAAAAAAAAAAGATGACTGTCACTTTTACTCAATTCGGTTCTAGTCACTCACAGAGAACAAAATGTTATCTATCTCTCTCCCAGGGCAACTGTCCCAAAGGAGACAATCAGATTGACCCTGTTTTTGGTCAGGTTACCCCTGTGGTTCAATTGATAAGGTCACAGTAGAAAATAGCTTCTGGGGCCATCTCTGTAGGGAAGGGCAGTTTTTACACAATGTTGTAGTGAGTGAGCTGGCTTAACATGCAGCCAAGGATACCAGATAAGCCGGATTCAAAATTGTATCTAACATAACAATGCGTTAGTCCAGCTGGTGTGGCTCAGTGGTTGAGCATCAACCCACGCACCAAGAGGTCGCCAGTTCGATTCCCGGTCAGGGCACATGCCCAGGTTGTGGGACTGATCCCCAGTGGGGGGCATGCAGGAGGCAGCCAATCAATGTTCTCTCTCATCAATGTTTCTCTCTCCCTCTTCTTTCCTCTCTCTGTAAAATCAATAAAGGGAAAAAAAAATTTTTAATAAAATAAAACTGCGCTCGCCCTGGCCGGTTTGGCTCAGCGGTTAGAGCGTCAGTCTGCGGTCCCAAGAGACCCGGGTTCGGTTCCCGCTGAGGGCATGTACTTGGGTTGCAGTTTGTCCCCAGCTCTGCTTGGGTCGTGCGGGTGGCGGCCACTCGATGTGTCCCTTTCACATCAATGTTTCTCTCTCTCCCTCCCACTCTATCTGAATAGAAAGATGGAAAAATGTCCTCGGATGAGGATTAAAAAAAATAATAAAATAAAATAAAACTGCGCTCTGTGTGAGGGCCTAGGTGTTCCCCTATGAAGAGAGAACGTAAGGATTGGCCCTATTATTTTGGGGTATGTACTTTTTTTTCCCTGAGGAAACTTTGGCCACCTCCTGCATGCCTCCTGCATGCCTCCTACTGGGGATTGAGCCTGCAACCTGGGCATGTGCCCTGACCAGGAATTGAACAAGCAACCTCTCTGTGCATGGGGTAACGCTCAATCCACTGAGCCACGCCACCCGGGCCATTCTGAGTTAAATTTTTATACACGGTCGAAAGCAGGGGTCCAACTTCATCCTTCTGCAGGTGGACATCCAGTTGTTCCAGCACTTGTTGAAAAGACTGTTCTTTCCTCATTGAATTGTCTTGGCCCCTTATTTAGTTTTTAAACTAAATCTTATTTCTTTGTAAACTAAATTCCCTAGGTGGATCAATAACTGACGACACTCAGTCAAGCATACAACGACAAATATGCAACTGAATGTGGTTAAGACGTGTGTATGCGCCCGGTCGGTGTGGCTCAGTGGACTGAGCATCATCCCATGGACTGAGAGGTCCAGGTTCGACTCCCAGTCAGGGCACATGCCCGGGTTGTGGGTTCAGTCCCCAGTAAGAGGCGTGCAGGACGCAGCTGATCGATGTTTCTCTCTCACATCGATGTATCTCTCTCGCCTTTCCTCTTTCTCTAAAAATCAAAAAAACATACTAAAAAAAAAAAAGATGTATGGATGTGAAAAGCCCCAACTATAATCATCAGTTACTTTCTTTTTTTTTTTATTTCCAATCCTCACCCAAGAACATTTTTTTTTCTATTTATCTTCAGATAGAGTGGGAGGGAGGGAGAGAGAAAAACATCGACGTGAGAGGGACACACAAATTGGTTGCCTCCCACACAACCCTGATCAGGGTCAGGGACGAACTACAACTGCGGTCCGTGCCCTTGACCAGAATCAAACCCACAACTCTGGTCCGCAGGCTGAAGCTCCAACCACTGAGCCAAACTGGCCAGGGCAATCATCAGTTACTTTCATTTACATAAACTAGGATTATTCTGGCCAGTACATTGGCTATATTCACTATCTTGACTGTGGTGATGGTTTTATGGGTATATCATATGTCAAACTTATCAAATTGTACATTTTAAATATGTGTAGTTTATTATATGTCAATTATACCTCAATACATTTTTATTAATTTACTGATTTGAGAGAGAGAAAGCAACATCGATTTATTGTTCTACTTATTTATGCATTTATTGGTTGCTTCTTGTAGGTGTCCTGAGGGGGATCAAACCTGCAACCTTGGTGTATTGGTATGATGCTCTAACCAACTGAGTTACCCAGCCAGGGCCTCAGGAAATCTGTTTTTAAAAGAGAGATAACCTAAGGGCAAGACAGTACATGAAATAACTTCTTTTCCTAGTCAATTTTCAGGATCAGCTTCTTTGGTTGAGCTTAAGGATATAATACCAACCAGTAATTTGGTAAAAGTTGTACTTCTACATTTCTCTTAATCAACTTTGTTCCAAAATGCAAGCACACCTTTTCAATTCAGTATTTGTAAAGCTGGGACCACTCATCACTATGGATAAGAATTAAGGAGAGCTGAAAATGTGTTTGATTCTTAAGGAAAAGCATTTTTCAGTGAGAAGTTAGAGACAAGGTTTTCCTTTTTCTACCTAGCATGTAAACCCTCCCCGCCACACCACGCTCCTTTTTGGCAGAGACTTCATCGGTCTGTTCACCCTCACATCCTTAGCATCAAGAACACTGCCAGTCACACAACAGGCCCTCAGTAAGTATCTGTCAAACGAATGAATAAAATACCACTTAACATGCACCACCTTTTCCTGGGACCATTTTGCATTGAGGCAGGTGGCAACTCTATTTCTCCTTCTAACTCAACTATTCCATCTCTAGAGGCAGATGCTGACTGTTTCCTGCACATTTTCCTTTTTCATCCATTCCACTTTTTTGTTTAAAAAAAATTTTTTTTTAGTTTTCAAGTACAGTTGACACTCAATATTATATTAGCTTCAGGTTGCAAGTTTTCTTATTATTCAACTGTTATATGAAGAAAAATAGGGTGCCCTGGCCGGTTTCTCAGTGGTTAGAGCATCAGCCTGCGGTCCTGAGAGACCCAGGTTCGGTTCCCGCTAGGGGCATGTACCTGGGTTGCAGTTTGTCCCCGGCCCTGGTTGGGTTGTGTGGGCGGTGACCACTGGATGTGTCCCTTTCACGAGGATGTTTCTCTCTCTCTCCTTCCCACTCTATCTGAACAAAATATTGAAAAATGTCCTGGGGAGAGGATTAAAAAAAAACAAAAACAGGGTAATGTGGCTTAAGGAAATCCCACATCCAAGAAATGAACTAAAATATTGTATCAAATATTATGCACAGGATCTACAAACTGGAAGCAATCAGGTGAAAGCAGTTAGGGAAATCAGAGTACACCCCCTGGAAGAAACGGTCCACAGAGTTAAAACAACCATCATCAATGACTCTGCAATTACATGGAAAACAGGCCGTACGAATCGGGAAGTGAAAAGCACCCTTGCTGACTATGATTACAAACGAAAATCTTCCACACAGTCATTTACCAGAATTGACTCTACTCGGCGAAGCCAAGATGTTTTGACTTGTTCTGACCACGAGTGGGCGCCTGGCACAGGGAAGGTGCTGATCAATCAAGAATTTGCTGAATGAATCAATGAAACTAAACAGAAAACACATCTCTGCGAACATACCTGAAGGGAAGGCACAAATGTGCAAATAGTAGGTTCCAGTGGTGGGGCTGTGGGTGTTGCCTCTCATCTCCTTCTCCCTCAAGTGGTGATACAACTGTCTCGGCCCGAAGGATGGCCACGGAGACCCCTCGCCGGCGGCCGCTTCCTCCCCTGTCCTGCAGCTAAGGAAGCAGGTGCACTGGATTAGGGTGTGGCCCGAGGACCTCTCCAGGGCGGAGTGCCCCAGCCAGGGCTCCCAGGGCACCTGGTATTCAGGTCTGTCCCCCGCAGAGGCTGACGGGGCGGCGCTGCCCCCTGCGCCCCTGCGCCCCGGCCCCCATCAGAGCCTGCAGCTAGGACCCCGGAGGGATGCCCCTCCACCTACGCTGTCCCCGCGGGCCCTCCCCCAGGTCTCTCGCAGATCGTGGGCCCCCTCGGGGGGTCGCGCATCACCCCCGACTCCACCGAGGTCCCCCGAGAGGGTGACTCCTTGCCAAGGGGGCGGTCACTCCGTCCGCCAGGGCTCCAGCTCCTCTAAGGGGGGCCTTCTTCGCCCCGGCCCTCGGGAGGGGGTCCACCCCGCGACGGCTCCGGAGGGGTCGCTCGGCCCCGCCCCGGCCCCGCCCCCTCGGAGGGGCGGTCGCTCTCCCCGCGGGCGCGCCCAGCCACGGGGCGCCGGTCGTACCCGAGGGGGCGGGCGCGCCTTCCGCCTGGCCCGGTGCCCGGGGCCGCGCCGCCTCCTTCCGGGCCTCCCGCGCGGGGCCGGGGCCGGGGCCGGAGCCGCGGGCGGGCGGGGAGCCGGCGGGCGGCCATGGCGCGCTGCTGCTCGGTGCTGGCGGCCTTCCTGTTCGAGTACGACACGCCGCGCATCGTGCTCATCCGCAGCCGGAAAGTGGGGCTCATGAACCGGGCGGTGCAGCTGCTCATCCTGGCCTACGTCATCGGGTGAGCGCGGCGGGCGCGGCCCGGGCGGGGGGCGCGGGGACCTCCCCGGCCCCCCGGCCCCGCCCTCGGGGAGCCCCGCGGCGCCTCCAGGTGGGACGGGCGCGGCGGGCGCAGCGGGCGGGCGACACGCCCCTCGCCACCGGGGTCGGGCTCGGGGCAGCGACCGCTGTGAGGTCGGGTTGTCAGGCAGACCCCGCTGGACCGTCACCCTCCCCTTTCTTGCTCCCCGTCCCTCTGCCTTGCTCTGTGCTGTCCTTCGGCCGGGGAAGGGGGGTGCACTTTGCCTGAATCCCTCAGTCATTGTTTTCACTTCCCATTCCGACGATCTGCTGCCGGGAACCGAGCTCGGGGGTGGTCACCGGTGCCTTTGGGGCCCGTGGCTTCCTGTCCCGTCCCACCGCGTGGTAATCCCAGATAGTAGGGGTCACACTTCCAAGCATTTAAATCCGCTTCCCTCTTTCATGGGCTTGTCGGTGTGGGTACCTGCCTTAGCTCCGTCCCTCCCCAAGCTGCCCTTAGCTGTGCCCATTATTCCTCACCAAGTGTTTCATTTTCATTGACTGCACCCCTGACCAACTGGGCCTGCTTTCAGGGTTCACCCGGGGTGTTAGGTGTGGACAGCTGCTGAGCTGACTGATGAGATACCTGCTTTTTCATTCCTTTTCTTAAAAGGCCTAACGCAGCAGGCCCCAAACTGCACGTACAACTATTTGGGAATTAAAAAACAAACACTAATTGCTGGCTGCAATTAATTCCCAGACCTTCTGATTTCACTGCTCTAGAGCAAGACTAGCTCCCCAGGTGATTCTAACGTGTGTAAAGTTTGGGAACTAGTGTTCTAGTGTTTCCCAAATCTACCTGATCGTGAAAGACGCACCCTGAGGAATTGTTTCACGTAACCTGGGGTGGGGCTTGGAATCTGTTAGCACTGCACAGGGAATTCACATGACCAAACAGGTTTGGCCTCTAGCATCGGTCAGCCCTGCAGCAATGAGTACTGACGTTATTCAGTAAAATGGCTTTCCAGGTAGTATGGACTCTACAGCAGAACCACCTAGCCCACCCTGCGGGTTTGAACGCAAGTCTCATTAAGTTCCACCATGAACCTCTCACCCCCCCCACCCCCCCCCAGTGAACTGTGATGCACCCTTAAATGCTGAGACCCAGTACTGGCTGGGTAACTGCACTCACGTTGCTGGGTTGGAGCTGAAGCATTTGGAATCGAGCCCACCTGCAGCTGTTTGCACTTTGCTCTTGATGCTCAAGGGGAGGTCATTTTATGTCTGCCTTAGGGGATCTGTGAAGTTCTAGACTGCAGATAGAATAGTCAGTCCCCTCTTATCCACAGTTTTGCTTTCCATAGTTTTCGTTACCAAGGTCTGAAAATTTTAAATGGGAAATTCCAGGGAAAAAGTCGTAAGTTTTGTTTTTGGTTAATCCTCACCTGAGGATATTTTTCCACTGATTTTTAGAGAGAGTGGAAGGGAGGGAGGGAGAGAGAGAGAGAGAAACATTGATGTGAGAGAGACAATCGACTGGCTGCCTCCAGCACGACCCCCAACCAGGGCTGGGGATCGAACCTGCTACCCAAGTACACGTTCTTTACTGGGAATCGAACCCGAGACCCACGGTCTGTGGGAGGGCGCTCTAATCACTGAGCCAAACCAGCCAGGGCCCAGTCATCATTTTTAAATTGCATGCCATTCTGAGTAGCGTGATGAAATCGCGAGGCGTCCTGCTCCATCCCACTGGAGACCTGATCATCCTTTCGCCCAGCCTTTCCAGTCCCTTCCTGTAGCCATCTTCGTTATCAGATCATTTATCAGAAAGAGTAACCGCATTCACATAACTTTGATAACAGCATATTGTTATAATTGTTTTATTATTGGTTGTTCATCTACTGTACCTACTTTGTAGGTAAACTTTGTCATAGTTATGTGTGTTTAGGAAAAGGCACAGTATAAAGAGAACACAGTATCCATGAGGGGTCTTGGACCACATCCCCAGCGGATAAAGGGGGAATACTGTATCTGCATCTGCAGTGCATGATGTGGTAGGCACTAGTCACATGTGGCTCTTGAGCACTGGAAATGTTCCTACTCCAAATTAAGATGGGCCGTCACTGTAAAATATGCACTTCATTTCGAGACATAGTGCAAAAGAAAAAAAAAAAACAGTAAAATATCACACTAATACATCTTATATTGATAACATATTAAAATGTATTGATTGGGTTTTGTTAAACTATATTGTTAAAATGGACTGTACCTTTTTATTTTTTAACATGCTACTAGGAATATTTAAATTACATATGTAGCCATGGTGTATTTCTTTGGGGCAGCCTGACTTTCCAGGATTCCTGTAACGTGGTCTCTACCTTGATCATGAGGATTTTTTTTTTTCTTTATTGATTTCAGAGAGGAAGGGAGACGGAGAGAGAGACAGAAACATTGATGAGAGAGAACATCAACTGGCCGCCTCCTGCATGCCCCCTACTGGGAATTTGGCCCACAACTTGGGCATGTGCCCTGACCAGGAATTGAACTGGCCACCTCTTGGTGCATGGGTCGATGCCCAACTACTGAGCCACACTGGCTGGGCTCATGAGGATTTTTGTTTGTTTCTTTTTTTTTTTTATCCTCATCCGAGGACATTTTCCCATTTTTTGTTCAGATAGAGTGGGAGGAAGGGAGAGCAAGAATGAGAGAGAAACATCGATGTGAAAGGGACACATCAAGTGGCTGCCACCCGCACGACCCAACCAGGGCCGGGGACAAACTGCAACCGAGGCACATGCCCTTAGCAGGAACTGAACCTGGGTCTCTCTGGACTGCAGGCTGACGCTCTAACTGCTGAGCCAAGCCCGCCAGGGTAAAAAAATTTATTTCTTAATTTCCTGGTCCAATTCATCTCAGTGAAATTGTGGTCTTTTTTCCCTCGTGACCCATGGCTGTCCTTCAAAAAGAGACTGAACGCCCATTTCTCAGTTATCTAATCCTGTTACCAGCCACATGATGAGGAAACAGTTAAATCATATAATGATGTGGTGAAACCGTGTGTTTCATTGTACCAGTGTAAAGTAGTAGTGACCTTCCTGCCCTAAGCTTTGGTGTATCCGACTAGAATTGAGTGGAAGCTTCTATTGCCGCAGATTCCCTGGAAACCCTGAAGAACAGGATCCGTTAGGGGAAAAGCTCATCTGTAGGATGGGAAATGAATTTGGAAACTGCTCAAATCAGACAGACCCATAAATAAGGAACTAAAACCAGCGAATTTCTGAAGCTTCAGCATCTAGAGTTTATAAGGAGAGAGGGATGCTGGCATTTCTTAATTCTGGGAAAAAAAAGTCACTGGTACGTGTTTAACAACAGCTGTAGTGGGGAGAAGTTCGGAGGTGTAGGATTGGCCCATTTCCATGGTGCATGGCTAGTTTCATCCTACCGATGGTGACTTGCAAACATGGTTCTAAGCATCTGACATGCATTAACTTACAAACCTCATAGCAACAGTCCTGTGCAATCCTGTTGTCATTCCCATCTTACAGATGAGAAAAACTGAGGCACAGAGAAATTAAAGCAACTTGGCCAAAGTTATGCCTAGTGACTGGTTGATCTGAAACTCGAACCAGACATCAGCTGGTTTCAGTCTGTGTCCCAGTGTCCTAACCACTATGTGCTGATGCCTTTACTTTTTTTTTTTTTTTATCCTCACCTGAGGACATTTTTCCATTTTTGCTCAGACAGAGTGAGAGGGGAAGAGAGAGAGAGAGAAAGAGAGAGAGAGAGAGAGAAACATCTACGTGAAAGGAACACATCAAGTGACTGCCACCCACATGACCCAACCAGGGCCAGGGACAGACTGCAACCGAGGTACATGCCCTTAGCGGGAACTGAACCCAGGCCTCTCTGGACCACAGGCCTACGCTCTAACCACTGAGCCAAACCGGCCAGGGCACCTTTACATTTTTAATTATTCAGACTGATAATAATGACACCACTTCGGAGGAAAGAAGCATACCTGTGACTTGAATTCTTAGAGAACAAATAAAAATTATTATAAAAAGCTGTTCGAAAGGTGTATCTTTTCTAGAAGCATAGCATAGAGGGCAAGAGAAGAGGCTTCAGAGAGAGAAGGCTTGAGGTCAGATCCTGATTTTGCCACTCACTCGCTGCGTGACTTTGGGCAAGTGACCTAACCTCTCTGTATCTCGCGTTCCTTCTCTGTAAAATGGAGCTAATGATGATACTTGCCTTACACAGTGGTCAGGATTAAATTAGTTAATACATATAAGGAGCTCGGATCTGTGCCTGGCACTTAAAAACACCCAAATGGTAACTATTATTACCATAATGTTTATTATCTCTTGGTGATTCTGCAGGTCATGGTACATTGAAAGTGCTCAAATACCTAATAAGAAAGACATCATTAACCAAGCATTTTCTCTGTGCTGATCACTGTGCTAAGTACTTTCCCCCAATCAGCTCATTCATTTCCCACAAACCACCCTGTAGTTTAGGTGCTGTTATGCTTATTTTGCAGAAGAGGAAATGGAGCCCCCCACCACCACCCTCGCAAAGTTTTTTGTTTTAAAAAAAAAATTTTTTTTTCCTTCATAGATTTTAAAGAGAGGGGAAGTGAGAGGGAGAGAGAGAAACATCGATGAGAGAGAACATTGATTGGCCGCCTCCTGCATGCCCCCCACTGGGGATCAGGCCCACAGCCTGAGCATGTGCCCTGACCAGGAAGCGAACCGGCGACCTCTTGGTGCAGGGTCAACACTCAGCCACTGAGCCGCACCAGCTGGACCACTCTGGCAAAGTTAAACAGCTTTTGCCACTAAACAGAATTAGTGACTGTGGCTAGCAGAGACTCCCTAGTATCAATTCAAATTCACCAAATCCTAATGGCAATTCAAGAGACCTGTTTTCTTTTGTAGGTGGGTGTTTGTGTGGGAAAGGGGCTACCAGGAAGTAGACTCTGTGGTCAGCTCCATTACTACCAAAGCCAAGGGCGTGACTACAACCAACACTTCTCAACTTGGATTCCGGATCTGGGATGTGGCCGATTATGTGATTCCAGCTCAGGTATGCTGTCTGTTACGACTCGAACTCGAACGGCTCGAGTTAGCTCCTTTCTCTTTGCTGACCTTACACACCTGATTAATGATTGGCATGGCCCGGGTTCTACCTTCCCCAAAGCCCAGGCTGATTGTTTTAGTCCAAGAAATCAGTGCACACAGATCTCCTCTTGGCATAGGATCTAAGAGCTGTGTTTCTTTCGTGCTAAAACATGCCTGGCCGAAACAGGAAACTTCCCTTATGGACATCTCGGTCTGTCTCAGGCCCTGAAAGGTGAAAAAAACAAATGTCTTCAATCCTGGGAAATATTCAGGTAGCAGTATCACCTTTTCCCATTTTTGTAATTGCTTTATGATTGTAACCCCACAAGGTGAGCCTTTTCAGACGGCATTAAAAACTTGATCAGCAACTAGAGACGAAAAGGCAAACAGAAGGAAACAGACGTACCTGCACCGATTCCATCAGGAAGGCTGTGATACAGCGTCCTAGTGGCTATCTGTGAACCCACAAAGCTCCAAGTTAAATATTGACTCCGTTTAGCCTCGGCAATGGCTGTGCTCCCCACAACCAACCCCCACACATCCCTCCAGATGGTGTATGTGCCAGGGTGACCAGGGTGGCTAAAAGCAGATAAGCTGTCAACTCTGGGCTCAGCGCTCCGCAAGGACTTAAGAAACCCTTTTCAAGTGCATTCGTTTCCCCCGTCTTCTCAAGAGAAGGGTCTTGTGGGGTGCCCAGAGGGAAGACAGAGCTAATGAGCCATAAAGGTCACGTGGAACAGGGGCTTCAGTTGCTAGAGGTCGTGGTCCTGTTGGCACGCACCTGTCTCAAGAGAGACCTCTGCTTCCTATCAAGTCACGGCCTCTTCCTGGCAAACTGGGGATATCCCTGTCTGTGTATGGAGCCAAGGAAGGGCATGGCCCCTGCTTCTGCCCCTCAGTGGAGAAGAACACCGGACGCTTGGCCTCCCATCTCAGGCCGGGGGGACTGAGTCCACAGGGCTCTCGCGAGCGCCCACATTCTGCTTCTCCGAAGCTGGAAGACAAACATCTGTTTGCATCGCATCTGCTTGGCTCATTTCCAGAATGAAATTCCCCTAAACCTAGATAAGAAATAGGAACCAAAAAGGAAACCGTATTGAATTGTTCACATCGAACTCAGAAGAGGAGGAGGGGCAGCCTTCGGTCAACACCAAGTGTCCACACAGGGCACAGCTGGGAACCTGACAGGTGCCAGGACAGACGGGCTCCCTGCCACGACCTCCTGCCTCCTGTGACCGCTTCCTCATCTCCCCACGTGGCTTGTTCCAGGCCTTTGGAAGATGCCAGCTGTCCCCAGAGCGTCCACCACCTTGTCATGCCTGGGGGTGGAGATGCCTACAGACCCCTTGATACTTGAGTTACGCTGATCCCCCCAGACCGCTCCCAGCGCTGACTCCGCCCCTCCCAGGAGTGGGAGGGGCTGAGAGCTTTGGGCACCTCATTTTAGAATGGCAGCGCCCTGAGGGGGAGGTCCAGCCAGAATCTTTGGGGTCTTTGTCTTTTACTCCTTAGACCAGGAGGTCGTTATTAGCAATTCTTCAGTCTCATCTCCCCCAAATTGCTCTCGAATGTCTTAGAAACTGGTAAGTGAATCATTTGGCACCTTCCTAGTTAGGAGGAGAAAACCTTCTCCAAGGGAGAGGTGTTGATGGCTGACCCTGAGTGAGTCTTCTCCCGCATGCTTTATTTCATTCCGGTTAGGACAGAAAACCAGCCAAAATCAAGACCTTTAAATGTTTGTGTTTTGTTTTGTTTGACCTTCTGAGGTCATCCGGTTGGCAGAGGAGGTCTGGAGCCCTTGTTGGCTCTTTTCCTTCAATACATCAGTCTTATTAAGGAACCATTTTAGGTTATAGACTTTTTAAAAAATTAAGGTGAAAATCACATTTCACAATATTAACTATTTCAAAATGAAAAATCCAGTGGCACGCAACAGATTCATAGTGTTGTGCAACCATCACCTTGATCTAGTCCCGGAACGTTTTCGTCGCCCTCAAAGGAAACCCTGTCCGCTCCGACACCCCACAACCGCCGGTCTGCTTCCCACGTGTATGGATCTGCCCGCTTCGGACATTGTATATCCGGGGGATAATACACTATGTAGACTTCTGTGCCTGGCTTCTGTCAGCATCATGTTTTCAAGGTTCATCCACATTGTAGCAGGTGCCAGGGCATCGTTCCTTTTCATTGGTGAATAGTATTCCATCGGAGGCACAGACCACGTTTGTGTATTCCTTCATCTGTCATTAGACACTGGGTGTTTCCACTTTTGGGTCATTGAGAATAATGCTTCTATGTACATGAGTTCACACTGTTTGTCCGAGTCCGTTTTCAGTTAGGTTTAAAGTCTGAGGAGAGAATGGGAGACCGTGAGTTCAGCTTTTATATTATTTTCTCTGTACCATGTGGGAGAAGTGAAAGGCACTATCCTGTTTTGATTGATGGATGGATGAATTTTAGAGAAAGAGATAAAGGGAAAGAGAGAAAGAAACATCACTTTGTTGTCCCACTTATTTATGCATTCATTGGTTGATTCTTGTATGTGCCCTGACCCGGGATCGAACCCACAACCGTGGCATATCAGGATGATGCTCTAACCAACTGAGCTCCCCGGCCAGGGTGGCACTGACCTGTTAAAGGAATGTCTGGCTTTCTTTGGGGCTCTGCTTGGCTCCTCTGAAGGTAACATGGCAGGGCTGTCCCTTCTGCCCCTCTGCAGGAGGAAAACTCCATCTTCATCATGACCAACCTGATTGTCACCATGAACCAGACGCAAGGCTTCTGTCCCGAGGTAGGCAGCTCCTTGGGAAGACCCTCCGGCCTCAGGCACCGCCCCCCCGTCTTGACCCACTGTGTGTGAGGCTGGCCACGTGGAAGTTATTTTCATTGTTCTTCTCATTTCAGGTTCCAGACAGCACCTCGACGTGTGAGTCGGACGCCAACTGTTCTGCTGGCTCCACAGGCACCCACAGCAACGGTATGAACGTGTGACTGCAGGCCGTCCGTAGACACCCCGCCTGGGCAGGCGGCCCCCCACAGCCTCCCCTGGGGGGCTCCCGGGATAGAGAGAGCCCCACCCTCCCCACTGCCTTCACATGACCCTGGGGAGCCTGGGGTCCAGGTGGAGGTCCCGGAACCCTGTCCACATTCACCCTGTCATCTGCGCCCCAGGAGCCATCCCAATCTTGCCCTGTGCCGTGGCTTGGCGTCACCCCAGCCCTGCAACTGGCAAAGCTAGGCCTCAGGCGACCATTTTCCTCCGATTCCAATGGTTGGACCCTGTCTAAATCCCAGAATCGGACTAGCTCGAGACAGATCGCGCAGGGTGCCGAGGGGGGGCCTCCACGCCCCTTCACAGAGGTAGAAAACGAGGCTACCTGTGGGCCTGGGTCCCCCCGCCCCTGTAGGAGTCGCAACAGGAAGATGCGTGCCCTTCCAAGGGACCGTGAAGACGTGCGAGGTGGCAGCCTGGTGCCCGGTGGAGTATGACGCAGAAGTGCCGAGGTGAGTCCTGGCCAGGGAAGGAAGTGCCCTAAACCCTGGTTCTCAGGCCTGAGAGATGGTGACGGGGAGTAAGCGACCCTCGGTATTGTGGCTCTGTGCCCTTGCTCTCTGTGTGTCAGGCTGCTCTGGGTGGTGATTCTCGGCCACAAGGCAGCAACCGCCAGTGGCGTGGTGGGTCACCTGTCGGTCATAAGCGAGCAGATGACTTATCTCTGTGTGAGGATCCTATCAATTGCAAATGACCAACCGGAAACAGCTCTCAGTGCCTTAAGTCCACTTCTCACAAAGAACAAGTCTCCATCCTCCCGAAAGGTTAGTTGCAACTTTTAGTAACATTGTTTGACTTGGTTATATATATATATAATAATAATATATAGTATATATATTTATTATATATATATATATATATTTTATCCTCACCCGAGGACATTTTTCCATTTTTTGTTCAGATAGAGTGGGAGGGAGAGAGAGAGGAAGAGAGAGATGGAGAGACATCGATGTGAAAGGGACACATCGAGTGGCTGCCACCCACAGGACCAACCAGGGCCCGGGACAAACTGCAACCGAAGTACGTGCCCTTAGCGGGAACCGAACCCGGGTCTCTCTGGACCGCAGGCTGATGCTCTAACCACTGAGCCAAACCGGCCAAGGCTTGGTTATATTTTTATTTGCACAATGAGCTCTAACTTGCAGCAAATGTTTTTATGGCGATGACTGAAAGTTTCATTTCCAAATGAATGTCAAACAAAAAATGAGCTGATCCTAAAGGAGAAAACCCAGAATGTCCACCACCAGGTGAAGACAGATTGGGGTCCATCAGGAATGGCGTTCTGACCCATGTTACAACATGGCTGAACCTCAAAAACACGATGCTAACAGCGAGAAAGCCAGTCGCCAAAGACCACGTATGAAACATGCATTCATACGAAATATCCAGAATAGACAAGTCCGTAGAGACAAAAAGTAGACTTCTGGTTCCCAAGGCTTAGGGGAGAAGAGGAACTACTTAATGGGGTTTCCTTATGGGGCGATGAGAATGTTCTGGAACTGGGTAGAGGTGATGGTTGCACAACACTGAAAGCATCGCACAGCAGATGCGTAGATGTGGGGGAAAGGTCAGGGGACACGGAATGACCGAAGTCTGGAAAACCCTGGTACAGGGGCGAGGGGTTTGAAGCCCCGAGAGACGTGCGCTGGTCAAGGTGGTCAGCGGCGGTGACAGGCTCAGCTCTCACTGTGTGGCCCTGCCGATGGCCTTGCTCCTGTCTCGGGGTTGGGAAGACCATTGTTTGTATTTTCAAGATCCCATCTGGATCGGGAGAGGCCTCCCCAGAGGGGCAGCCTCCAGTGCCGGATTCTCCCGTGGAAATCCATCAAAGAACTGGTGTCCCCTCAGGGACAGATTCCGCTCGTATTGCCAACCAGAAGCTGACATGGCACTTTGAAGAGGCTGTGGGCCAGAAGACACCACTTTTTGTGTATTTTTGTTGTTGTGTATTTTTAAGAGGTCAAGATCCAACCAGCCTATAGGTGAATTGGCCTTTGCTTTAAATTGTAATGTTTTTTTAATTGATTTTTTTAGAGAGGAAGGGAGAGACAGAAACATTGATGTGAGAGAAACACTGATTGGCTGCCTCCTGCACGCCCCCTACTGGGGATCAAGCCAGCAACCAGGGCCTGTGCCCTGACTAGTGATCAAACTGGGACCTCTCAGTCCATGGGACAACGCTCAGTCCACTGAGCCACGCCGGCCGGGCTGCTTTAACTTTTGTAAGACCAGGTCTGTTGAGCATCTCCCTGAGGGCAGCAGGCCCTGCCTGGACCGCGGAGAGAATCCCGGTGAGGCCACTGGGCACTGCCCACCCCTCGCTCAGGTGTTTCGATCCCTGCTGCCTCACGCAAGAGGCCAGGAGAGGATGAAACCTGAAGGCTTGGTCCACAGTCTCCCTTGACCTAGCGTTTATGCAGAGGACAGGAGAAAAATGCTAGAAATGTTGGTTTTGGCAAAATGACATTGTAAGAAGTGTATATATGCTTTTTACAAATATTACACAGGTATGTGAGTGTACATGTATTTGTACTTAATTAACAATAAGTGTGTTACATAATTTTTTCAGACCTGCTTTTTTAAAAGCTGCAGAAAACTTCACCCTCCTGGTTAAGAACAACATCTGGTATCCCAAATTTAACTTCAGCAAGTAAGTGGTGCCCGGCTGTGAGTCCACCAGTGTCTCGGAGAAACTTCCGGCTCTTTTTTTGAGCTTTTCCTCGCTTCTATTTTCTGCTTCCTCCTGACTTTAGGAGAAACATCCTTCCCAACATCACCACCTCCTACCTCAAATCGTGCATTTACGACGCTGTCACAGATCCTTTCTGCCCCATATTCCGTCTTGGCAAAATAGTGGCGGATGCAGGGCACAGCTTCCAGGACATGGCCATCGAGGTAGGCCCAGGCCCGGCTTTGCTAACACAGGCTCTGACGGGTCACGTTCTCGAATGGGCTCTCGGGAAGGCTCGTTGTCTCTGCTCGAAACCCACAGGGCGGCATTATGGGGATCCAGATCAGATGGGACTGCAACCTGGACCGAGCCGCCTCGCACTGCTTGCCCAGGTATTCCTTCCGCCGCCTGGACACCCGGGACCTGGACCACAACGTGTCCCCCGGCTACAATTTCAGGTGGGCATGCGCTTGGACGCGTGTGGGCATGTGGGGGGTGATGGCGGCCAGATGACTCGTGGGGCATCCACGCCCACCAAAGCCCAGCGCTGACAGCTGCAAGGGCAGGTGGGAGCCACGTGCCTGTGGCGTCCTGGCCCGTGAGAGCCCTCCCAGCCCTCCGGCCTCAAGAAACCCGCCGAGGCCGTTTGCAGAGCGGCCGAGGGCCCGGATGCGGTAGCTTCCCCCGGCCAGCCTCAGCCAGGACCTCCGCTCACTACCTTGGAGTAGACGAGCCTGCGACCCTCCGGCGCAGAGGCCTCTGGGCCTGCCCCAGGAATTGCTTTCTCGAAGACCAAGGGGCCGGAATCGCCAGCGTGCAGGGGACAGGTTCTAGCCTCAGGCTGGTCTTCGCTGGTACGTCTCTGCTGAAGTGCCGTGGATTCATTTCCTAGGGTTGCCGTGGCAGATGGCCACAGACTGGGAGGCTGGGAACAACAGGATTTATTCTCGCCCAGTTCGGGAGGCCACAAGCCCCAAATCAAGGTGTCAGCCAGGTCTGGCTCCTTCCTTGCCTCCTGCAGCTTCTGGTGGCTTCCGACAATCCTTGGTGTTGCTTGGCTGGTAGACACATCACTCCCGTCTCTGCCTTTGTCCTCACACGGCCTTCTCCCCTCTGAGTCTGCGACTCCGTGACCTCGCCTCTTCTTATAAAGATGTCAGCCGTATTGGATTCAGGGCCCACCTTAACTCTGTGTGTCCTCATCTTAATTAATTACATCTGCCAAGACCCTAGTTCCAAGTAGGGTCACATTCACAGGTTTCACGTGAATTTGGGAGGACATGAGTCAACCCAGCACACAGCTGGTAGTATGAGAGGGCCAAGGGGGGCCAGGGTCATGTTTGCCCCTTTCCTGGGGCAGTATAACCTGTAGCCACATACGTTTTCATGTGCCTTTCGTTGCATTTTGCACACAGGTAACCACTATTAAAAATAGGCCAGTGGTGCTTTTGTGTTGCACTTGTCTCCCTCTAGTGGTGACACGTGGAATCAAATGCACGCAGAATCGGCTCTTTTTGAACCACCTGGTTCACTGATAGAAGGGGCAGATGTATGAATCTTTTCCTAGTAAGGGAGTTGGATTTGTGTTGCTCCATCTCTACTCTTACACAGTCCTTGTAGAAGCCACTGGGTTGGAACCCCAGAACAGAGAGACGCTGATGGGACCCTCACAAGAACACCCGCCCCCTGACCCCTGCCAGCACAGGCCCTGCCTGAGTTCCAGGCCTGGACCGTGACATGGAGACAGACGATGCGCCAAGAGTCTAGGACCTGGTGGGTCCCCTGTATTAAACAGGGCAGCAAATGGTCTCCCATCTCAATGGTTCTCCCTCAGTCATTTCCCCTTAAAAGGCGTTGAGACATAGTTCACATACCACACAGTTCATCCATTTAAAGTGTAGAATTCAGTTGTTTTTAGTCTATTCCCAGAGTTGTGCAACTGTTACCACAGTCCATTTTAGAAGTTCCATCACCTCAGAAACATTGCCATCACCTGTGTTTAGCTATCACCCCTCTAGCCCCTCCCCCCACCCCTGGCAACCTCTAATCTATTTCTGTCTCTATGGATTTGCCTGCCCTGGACTTGCATATGAATGATCCACACAATGTGTGGCCTTGTGTCTGGCTTTTTATTTTTTTTTAGCAAAGGACGTTACTACTTTATTTTCAATTCTTACCATTACAAGTATTGGATTCTGCAAGATCATATTAAAACTCTTTTGCCCTGGCTGGTTTGGCTCAGCAGTTAGAGCGTCGGCCCACGGACCGGGTTCGGTTCCCGCTAAGGGCACATATCTCGGTGGCAGTTTGGTCCTGGTTGGGGCTTGTGTGGGTGGCAGCCAGTCAATGTGTCTCTCTCACATCCATGTTTCTCTCTCTCTCCCTTCCTCTCTATCTGAAGATAAATGAAAAATGTCCTCAGGTGAGGATAAAAAAAATAAGTAAAAAGAAAACTTTTTGGTGAGGATAGCAATTTTACACAGAGGGGTTAGATAAAAAATTCAATTTTTGGCTCTCTGATACTAAACTAAACTAAAATTTGTATGAACACATGGAGCTTGAAACTTAAAAAATATCTAAATGGCCCTGGCCCGTTTGACTCAGCGGTTAGAGCATCTGCCCGCGGACCAGAGAGTCCTGGGTTCGGTTCCTGCTAAGGGTGCGTACCTCGGCTGCAGTTTATCCCCGGCCCTGGTTGGGGTTGTGTGGGTGGCAACCACTCGATGTGTCTCTCACATCAATGTTTTTCTCTCTCTTCCCTCTCTCCTTCCCACTCTACCTGAAGATAAATGCAAAAAAACTGTCCTCGGGTGAGGATTAAAAAAAAAAACCCTAAATGATAAAAAGATAAGACAGTTAAGTATCCGTTGCTATATCTATATCCTTTATCATAAACGGTATATAATTAAGAATTCAACTATTTTTGAGGCTGCGAGTCAGATCAAGTAATCTGTCATGTATGCTCCATAATCTTTTAAAAATTTTACCTTGAAGAAGACAAACAGAAATGTTCAACAAATTTAATCTCCCAGATGTTCTCAGAAAGAATTGCCAGAAGCATCCTCCAGTAATAAAACACAGCTGGATAACCAGGTCACCCCAGATGAACCCGCCGTGCAGGCTGAGAGGTCGCCGTGGGCGACGGGTCTGTGAAGCGGTGCCCTCGGCGCACACGCGTTCTCTCTCCGCGTGCGGAGTGGGAGTGACAAGGGACGGTCACCTCTCATTATTCCATCAATTACTGGCGTTCGCGTAGTATTTTATCCTCACCCGAGGACATTTTTTCATTTTTTTTTTTTTTTGTTCAGGTAGAGTGGGAGGGAGAGAGAGGAATAGAGAGAGAGAAACATCGACGTGAAGGAACACATTGAGTGGCTGCCACCCGCACAACCGACCAGGGCCGGGGACAAACTGCAACCGAGGTACGCGCCCTTAGCGGGAACCGAACCTGGGTCTCTCAGGACCGCAGGCCGACGCTGTAACCGCTGAGCCAAACCGGCCAGGGCTTTTTTTTTTTTTTTTAAAACGAAGCCCAGGCAACTGAGCCACATTGGCCAGGGCTCTGGGTGGTTTTTTATTTATTTATTTATTTATTTTTATCCTCTCCCAAGGGTATTTTTCCATTTTTTGTACAGATAGAGTGGGAGGGAGAGAGAGAGGAAGGGAGAGAGAGAGAGAAACATCGACGTGATGGGACACATCGAGTGGCTGCCACCCGCACGACCAACCAGGGCCGGGGACAAACTGCAACCGAAGTATGTGCCCTTAGCGGGAACCGAACCCGGGTCTCTCCGGACCGTAGGCCGACGCTCTAACCGCTGAGCCAAACTGGCCAGGGCTCGCGTAGTATTTTAAATGCCTGATTTCAGCTTTACGATACCAGTATTTATTTTGAAAGGGGATTCTATCTTTAAGTAGAGGATATTAACAACCTCCAACACGCTCTCTCGGGATAATTGGCAGTTCTGGACTGTGCTGCAGAAAACCGTTTCCAGCAGCCTGTGCGGGGTTTGTTCCTATTCTACCCTCGGTAATAATTGCACTTGTGGCTGCGGGAACTGTGGATTCTTCTGCTGCAAACTTGAAGCTGCGTGAAAGGCGCAGGTTCCAGAACACCGAGTGCTGTGTGTGCGGCCGCGGGTCGGACATCAGCACGATCTTAGAGGAAACATTTCACACGGTGCAGCCAGCCTGCCAGAGACGCCAGCTGCCCCTCGCGTCTGGCTTCTTTGGCTTAGCATCATGTGTGCTTTTCTGAGATGTACCCATGTTGTAGCATTTATGAGTTCTTCATCTCTTCTGATGGCCAAATAATATTCCATTGTGTGGATGAACCACATTTATCCATTCATCCATCGATGGATCAGTGTTTGTTTTTTCTTTTCCTTTTTTTTTTTTTTGTGGTACGTGCCCCTAGCGGGAACAGAACCCGGGACTCTCTGGTCCGCAGGCCAACACTCAACCGCTGAGCCAAACTGGCCAGGGCTGTTTTTTTCTTTATTGATTTTAGAGAGAGATGGAAACATTGATGAGAGAGAACATCAAGTGGCCGCCTCCTGCATGCCCCCACTGGGGATTTGGCCCACAACCTGGGCATGTGCCCTGACCAGGAATCGAACCGGCAACCTCTTGGTGCAGGGTCAACGCCCAACCACAGCCACACTGGCCAGGCTGATCAATGGTTCTTTAAAAAAAAAAAAGTCCAGTGCTGATGCCGGGAGTTGCGTTTCCAGTTTTGCAGTCGGAGGTCGCTGCTGCTGGCCGGCCGCACTCTAGTGGCCGGAGTCTCCCTGAGCGGCAGGGGCTCAGCTGCCAGGAAGGAAGGACTCTCAGAGCAAGAAGTTCTGGTTGAGACAGGAGGCGATGGTGGTAACAGCAAGCAGCTCTCTTCGGGCTCTCTGGGCCCACAGACCAGCCCTCCTGTGTGGCCCACACGAGCTGGGTGCTCAGGTATCATGTCAGCAGGCAGAGATCTCCGCCAGTGCCAACACCGCGAGGCCTCCCTGGCCCAAGAGCCACTGTCTCCCACCACCGTTCTCCTCTCCCCAGGTTTGCCAAGTACTACAAGGACCTGGCTGGCACCGAGCACCGCACCCTCATCAAGGCCTACGGCATCCGCTTCGACGTCATCGTGTTCGGCAAGGTAGTCTGGCCGCCAGCTTCTCATTCAGACCCTGCTGGTCCTCTTCTGGGTTGGCCTGGGGCGAGGGGTCCTCTCCCCTCTTTACCTGCCTTTATCCACCCGTCACAACTCTTTTTGCTTTTTCTCCTGTCACTTGCAGGCTGGGAAATTTGACATCATCCCGACCATGATCAATGTGGGCTCTGGCTTGGCGCTCTTGGGAGTGGTGAGTGACAGACCTGTGTCCACCCCCGGGCTGGGGTCCTCCTTAGCAGTAGCTAGCACGGCAGGTGAGCCCCTCAGCCAGTGGCCTGGTCCTTCCCCTCACCCTCTGGGCTTGTTTCCCTCCCCCACCCCCACCTTCACCTCGAGGAGACTCTTTTCCGTGAAAGATTCCAGGCACAGAAACACAGGGACTAACGTCCTGGCTCGTTCTTCCAGGCGACAGTGCTGTGTGACATCATCGTCCTCTACTGCACGAAGAAAAGATACTACTATCGGGAGAAGAAGTACAAATACGTGGAAGATTACGAGCAGGTGGGCACCTCGCGGACTCGGCAGGCGCTGCATCTCCTCTGCCGCCTGGCGGTGGCGACACCCTGAGCGCCGGCCCGTCGCCCCAGGCAGCCGCACGCCACTCTGTCATCTCCCTTCCACACCATCTGCACCACAGCCCCCTTCCGAGGGACCCGCTCTTTAAACCTAGCCTCATTTCAGTTAGCGACATCTCAGGTTAGTTATAATGGATATTATGACAGAACCGACGTCCACGCACTACTGCAATCCGCCTTGTGTGCAGAAGGGGCTGGGAACCACCGAGACCACGACCGAGACCGCTTGCGCGCGCGGTGGTGAAGGGCTGGGGAAGCCCGAGTGCTGGCTCCAGGCTCGGGGCGGGTGCGCCTTTACCCAGAAGCACAGCAGTTACAAGTACATCGTTCTTCGCAGGGTATCAGCGACAGCGAGATGGACCGGTGATGCCTACCCCACTCCTGGCTCCCCACTGCCCTCGTCGAAGCGGAGTGGAGAGCGCAGAGAAGGGAGCAAAGGCTGCCAGGGCGCCCTGGAAAGCTCGGGATTCCGAGTCAGTCTCCACCCTGCAAGGGCTTCAGGGTGGCCCAGCTGCCATGTGTTGTAGGATGTGCATCGGAAACCCGTCTGTTCTTGGCTGGGTCCCCTCTGCCGTTCCTTCTACTTGGGGTCCTTTGGGTGGCTGGGGCCCATGGGCTGGGGGCCTTCTCCAGGGCCAGCAGCTCTGTCCCAGTACCTTGTACGGAGCGCGAGGACATGGGGGCGCGGGCCCCAGCGCGGGGCCGCTCCTCTTCCCCCACCAGACTTTGTCCGCGCAGTCACAAGGCAGAGGTCGTGTTTCTCTTTTGAGAAGAGGTATGTTGAGATGATTGAGGACCAAACATTAAAACAAGTGATTTTCTTCTTTTTTTTTTCCGTTTTTTGTTCAGATAGAGTGGGAGGGAGGGAGAGGAAAAGAGAGAGTGAAACATCGACGTGAAAGGGACACATCGAGTGGCTGCCACCCACACGACCCAACCAGGACCGGGGACAAACTGCAACCGAGGTACGTGCCCTTAGAGGGAACCGAACCCGGATCTCTCTGGACCTCAGGCCAACGCTCTAACCGCTGAGCCAAACCGGCCAGGGCAAAACGAGTGATTTTCTCCACCTCTGTCGGCTTGGTTTCACATTCATAGCACGAGCCAGGATGCGGCCTTCCTCCTCCAGCGAAGCCTTGTGTTGTCCCAGCTCGCTGTGCCTGGAGAAGGTCCTGAAACAGTCTGCTGTCTGCTGCTGCAGCGTAGGCATTTCCCCTGCTTTAACTGTCTCTTAAAGGCCTAAGAATTCTTGTCTTCACTAGGTTGTGTTCTTCCAGAGTTTACAAGATTTCTTCTCTGTGGGGACTTGCCAGATCTGTGCTTACACCCTCCCTACAAGGACAGCACTACATACGCTCTAGGGAATTCAACCCGAATACAGCCCCCCCCCACCTGCTTTCCAGAAGTCTCCAACCAAAAGCAGCCCCACCTCCGCCTCCGCCTCCGCCTCCACCAGTCTGAAAGGATAATGCAGCTATTTCTAGCTTAGCCTTCACACAACGTCCTTCTGCATCAGGTGTTCAGGATCTCCCTAAAGAAAGCCGCTCGCCCTCCCCCTTGTCGTGCATTCATTTCCAAGTACGGAAGGAATGGTTTATTTTTAAAGTGCTCTGCTCCGCCCTGGCCGGTTTGGCTCAGCAGTTGGAGGGTCGGCCTGCGGACCAGAGTGTCCCAGGTTCGGTTCCTGCTAGGGGCACGTCCCAATAAATAAAGTGCTCTGCTCCTGTGGGATAAATGACCAACGTAGTCTTTTCTTGCTTTGAAGAAAAACTGTTCACTGGCCCTGGCCGGTGTGGCTCAGTTGCTTGGGCGTCGTCCCTTGCACTGATCGGCCACCAGTTTGCTTCGCAGTCAGGGCACGTGCCCAGGTTGCAGGCTCGATCCCGGGTAGGGGGCGTGCAGGAGGCAGCTGATCAATGTTTCTCTCTCCCTCCCTCTCTAAAAATCAGTAAACATGTATTTTTTTAAAAAAAGGTTTACTGAACCCCTTTGAAAAAGCTCTGGTTCAAGCTGCCTTTTCTGAAAAATGCCTGCTTGAACCCACGACTCAAATGGAGCTGGAATTTTTAGGAATGGCTTCTTACCTTGCAGGCTAAGAAGTGATGGTTATTGGAGTGGAGGAGACTCCTTTTAGCCTCCCTGTTTCTAAGACAGAATGCTAGGGCCAGCTGGGGTGAGGGCTGGGGGTGGCATTGCTTATTTATTGATAGATTGATTTTAGTCAGAGAAAGGGAGAGGGAGCCATAGAAACATTGATGAGAGAGAACATCAAGTGGCCGCCTCCTGCACGCCCCCCACTGGGGATTGGGCCCACAACCTGGGCATGTGCCCTAACCAGGAATCGAACTGGTGACCTCTTGGTGCATGGGTCCACACTCAACCACTGAGCCACTGGCTGGGCGGCGTTGCTTATTTTATTCATCAGCGTCACCTTGCGTTCAGCTACATCCGTACTTGGTGGCCCTGCCTCTTCAGTAGGGGTCCTTGCACCCAGAGGTGGACCTCCAGGAGTCTCTGGAACCCCTCTAACCTTGTGAGGCGATGCACCTGTGTGCATTCTTTCTCAGCAGATTCCGTTTAACCTCTGCAAGGAGATCACTGCAAACTAACCAGGCCCCACCTGCCCCCGGATTCTCAGTGGCGTCTTTAATCGGAACACCTGCTCTTGCCTCGTACAGGCCAGTATTTCCGTGTTGAATTTCTGTGGCAAGGGGACAGGAAGCTTTCAGACTTCGTCTGCCATCCTTCGATACAGGAAACAGAGGCACAGAGCCAGGCAAGCAATGCAACGGGCTAGATTCCCATCGGGAGTGCAGGGAACCCTCGGCTTTTAGTCCAGAGAGACCCTCCTTTCTAAACCAGTCTCCAGACGCCACGGACACTGGCCACTGCCCAGGTGCCGTAAAACACACACTTGGCTGACAAACTGGGACGGAGCCCCTGGACGGCTGACTTGACTTTTCTGCGCCTGTCCACAGGTGCTGACCCGTAAAATGGGGCTAGCACCTACCCTGTGGGTGAAGCGTCACGGAACCTGCCTAGCCAAAGGGGTGCTCCCGGTCTGAGGAACACTGCTCACCTGTTCGGTCTCCAGAAGAACCAAGCAATTACCTGCCTGCCAGAGCCGTGCTTCTCGAACTTCAGCTTTGCAGAGGAGCCACCTGGGGATCCTAGGTAAGTGAGGCCTGGGAACCTGCATTTCTAACCCACACCTGGGTGCCGCAGACGCTGCTGGTCTGGGGAACACACTCTGAGGCAAGACACCAGGACATGATTAGATTAAGGCTGAATAATGTAATGCTGGCTACATGAGCCTCGAATCTCACCGCCGACCTGAAGAAGGAAAACAGACGTAAGTAAGGACAGACGTCCTAGGCAGCGCTGACTTAACGACCAACAGAACAATCCCAAGGAGGCCTGGCTTTGCACCATATTTTGGCTGTCTGTTTATTTCAAGTTTACAGAGAAGCTTAAACATCAGTGGAAAAACACCAAAGGCTTATTTTTCTCTTCAATTCATGTCTTCTTAAGTGATAAATACACAGTATTTAACTTTGTACACCTGATAAAAGGAAAATGCATAGTAGAAAGGATCAGGAATGAAACAGAAGCATTGGGCAGAAAATCAATCACAAGAGAAAAGTCAGCAGTCCCACGAAACTCGGCCCGTAAAGCTGGAGAGGATGGGAACCGACGACCTTGAAACTTTCCCTAGCACCTTAGAAACAAGTGGAGGTCAGGGTCCCCCCCCCCCCGCCGGGCAAAGTGAGGCTCCCCTTTGGAAGATAGATGAGAGCCACAGGTCGAACCTATGTCTAAATGCACAGGTATTCGCCTCCTTGTTCCAGAAAGGCTTTGAGGATGGGAGCCCTAACTCGTGGGAAAGGCCAGACCAGTGGGGAGACAGCCTCTCCGGCCCCCACGGCTGACAAGGGGCTAGATAAGGCTTTATGAAAGCCACCGGTAAACCAGCGGAATAGATGGGGGACGCAGAACAGGGCGGAGGAAAAGGTGGGGAGAGAAAGTTGTGCTTCCTTCGAGGCCACAGATGCAGGCCACAGGTGGCTTACCCCAAATTGGTCCACAGAGGAGCCAGCAATGGCAGAAACAAATGGGCATCCTTTGGGCTCACCCGAAAAAGCGGCCCCTGAAAGCTCCCCGCTCCTGACAGCTGGCTTTTGAAAAATCACTGTTCATGCTCCGAGAGAGTGGGAGTTAACGCTATGTTACAGCCCTCTCTGCGCAGGCTTTTTGGGGGTGGCGGTTCCTTTCCACAGCTTTCTTTGGTGTTTGTTAAATTAGAAAGTTACGGACCTGGGCCTTCCCCTGCCCGCCCCACCCCGCCCCAGCAGCCGGGTGCTGTCTGACGACTGGCAATCCACCCGTGAACCCTTCCATGAGGGTCTGCGGGGGAGAAGTGGCCCAGCCCGACGCGCTGTGTAAACACAGGACTTCTGCAGAAGCTCTGCATGCTGCCCGCCCTCCCCGGGCAGCCGCCTGCCAGGCCGGAGTCCACAAACAGCTGGGACGAGACTAAGGACCGGCTGCTGACTTGAACCCACTGCAAGGTGCTTACTGCAAACGAACCAGGCCCCATCTGCTCCCGGAAGGGGTGGGGCCCATACATTTAAACAAGCATAGGAGGGCGAGAGGAAGTGCTGGGTTACAAAAAGAAAGCAGGAGAGGGGACCCTCCATCAGACGGATATCCTTTGCCCTCGGTAACCAGCAGTCCCCAATTCTGTACTCTCACAGGGCAGCAAGAAATGTCTGGCTCAGTGACAGTCCAGGGCTTAGATTCCAGAGCTGTGGATGCCTGGAGTGTCTAGGCGCTGGGAATGCACTGAGCAGGGCCCAAGTCTGTTTCTCTCTCTCTGCGCACAGTCCTCGTACCAAAGCTGATCACACAGAAACTACGTCCTTCTGAGCCCTGCCATTTCCCCAAGCCGGGTTCCACAAAGCACGGGCAATCTCCCCGGACAAAGTCCTTCCAGCTTTCCTGCCCCTTGAACTTCAGACCCACCCACGTGCGACTAGGGAAGAAGTCGCACTTGAACTGCAACCGAACTTCCCAATGTCCGATGGAAGTCAGAAAGATAACCCTTTTCTTTCTGGTCTTTTGGCGGCGGGAGGGAACATCCTGTGCCACGCCCCGATTTCCTTGCACCCTGAGGAGTGCTCTGGGTTTCGACAGTCTTCTCTAAAAGGGTGACCCGAAGTTCCCGAGTCATCCTAACAGAGCTGGTCCAGATACTCACTTTTAATCACTTTTATCCTGGTGGAATGAACGTATTTCCTAACTGGCCCTCTGGATAAACTGTTTCACTAACTACAACACTCAGCTAGTATTTGAGGAGAGAACCAAACGTTCGCAGTCTCTAGAACACACAGGTTACAAACAGGCTAAGTTGCTAATATACAAGGACAGGTTTCACTGGCTGTAACCCCGATCACGTGCTGGAGGCCCTGGACTAGATCCTGGAAGCTCGAAATGATTTCTGAACTGCCCTGGAGTTCAGTCTAGTTGGAGAATTGAACATTTTTGCTTGTTTGTTCACTCTTAAGCCATGTAATATACATGGAAGTATAGGATTTCACCCTGATGTTTTTGTAATTGAACAGGAGATTTACTGCAAGCTCAGTCTACTCTTTCAGAAATCCACTTTAAGTGGCTGTCATGAAGAAATGCATTCAAGTCCTTCAGGCAGAATGTTTCCTACTACAATCACAAATGCCCTTCTAAGGCTGAAAATCCCCTTTGTGAAGCAATTAAGTGACAAGCCCTTTCTGTTTTTCTGACTACAACTCCAGCCATAAAAAGATGTTCAAGTCCTTCTCACAAACAAGTTGCACGAAGCTCCCTGCAGCGCCGAGGGCTGGCCCTGCCTGGACACCTTGAGTCCACGGTCCTGGAAGGGGTGTGGCTTTAGGTTTGGGGTTTGCAGGAGAAGCCACACCCACTCTCCTCCCTTCAAATACAGCTGTGGTCTCAGGCCACGCTGCCAGTTTTCTGCCAGTTCTTCTCGATTTTCAAACCCCACACACATTCACTTGGTATCTCTGACATGGTTCCAAGTTTACAACGAAGGGTTTTTGGCATAAAAACGTTTTAAAAAGCGAATGTCCCAAAATGCACGTGGCTCTGGGTCTGCAACTCCTCACACCCGCCTGTTCAGCCAGCCAGCGGCCAAGGTCGATGCCACGGAGTCCTTTTTGTCTTGTTTTGTCCCCTTTCGAACAACAAAGGAAAAATAAACAAAACCAGAGATGACAGGCTCTACACACGTGCTCGTTTCCGTAGGACATGCTGCTATGGAAACGCAGGGGCGCGGGCAGCCCTGGAGGCGAGACGCCGGCATGCGAGGTCACAGGTCCAGCAGCTCCTCCATCGCGTCGTCTGGCCGCAGAGGATGCATGCGTGCTCAGTGGCCGGGGCCCAGGGCCCCCCAACTCTGCACTCCTGGACCGCCTTTCACAAGAGCACTTCCTCCTCCCCCCCGAGGGGCGGCTCGGGGCCTTGCAGGCTGTCTTCGCTGCCGTGCTTCCTGCTCACCGAACAGAAAACCCAGAAAACCCACGTTAAGAGCGGGCACAGCCCGGAACCAGCATCTCCAGGTTCCCTACTGCCTGCAGTTATTTACTCAACCTCTTCGTTTAGATTCTCTCCCCCTTTGTTTCTTGCTTATATACAATTTTCAAAGGAGACTTTGTATCCTCTGTGAATGGAAAACCAGCGTCATTTGCCAACAATAGCAAGGAACTATAAAAACACATGCAAACCTATCTGCGCAGCGTGACACCTAAAACCACGGCGTCGTGAGTGCTGTGTGGGCCCCACTTTGCAGCCTGTTCACTGAGGTTTTTTTGTTATCTTGACTCCCCACCCCCACCCCTTTAGGCTGTAAGCTTGCAGGGCAGGAACCGTGACACTTGTCTTCTGTTACCAGGTGAATTTCTTGGGGACAGTGAGGACCTGGGCTTGGCCTGGCACACAGCCAGCCTTCAGGAAACAGTTGTCAACAGAAAACAGAGCTGCCCTAGCACACAGGCCTCAGGGACACCCACGGCACAGAGAAGGGGCCCCCTCCTGCCGATGCAATTGAACTAGAACAGACCAAGTTGGTGGGTGGGTCCAGAGAGACCATATCCCGAAGCACCCCAGCCAGGGCCGCCTGGGGTGACAGACGAGGGTGACGGAGATGCGAGGGAAATCCCTGAGAGGCCCTGAACCTCTGCCACTATCAGGCAGAGCTGCCCCTTCTACGAGAAGTCGTTGAGCTTGTCACGCAGGACTTGTGTCCACTGTGTGTCCCTGGCCAGAAGGGAAACTGCCCCACACAAGGGAAGGGACAGAGTGACGTCTGCACATTCCTAGGAAGAAACCCTTCTGTTTAAAAATCACTCATCGGGCCCTGGCCGGTTTGGCTCAGCGGTTAGAGCGTCGGCCTGCGGTCTGGAGAGACCCGGGTTCGGTTCCCGCTAAGGGCACGTACCTTGGTTGCAGTTTGTCCCCAGCCCTGGTGGGGTCGTGTGGGTGGCAACCACTCGATGTGTCGCTTTCACGTCGATGTTTCTCTCTCTCTCTCTCCCTCTCACTCTATCTGAACAAAATATCGAAAAATGTCCTCGGGTGAGGATAAAAAAAAAAAAAAAAAAAAAATCACTCATCGGCTTTGTTTCTGCCAAAGAGGAGGGATCAGGTCTCCTGGGAGATCCGTCACTCGATGCCCAAACAACAAATGGATGTTTCTCTCTCTCTCTCTCTCTCTCAAATCAATAAACAAAAACACTAAAAAATAAATAAAACCACTGAATTATACACTCCAATGGGTGAGCTGTACGGTATGTGAATTATCTGTCAATAAAGCTGCATTTAAATCACAGAAATGGCTGCCTGGGGCTCCCCCCCGCCCCCCGAGGTTGAGGCGCTGAGTCAGGCTCAGCGGGAAGAACACTGGGATTGCTGTCCCGCCGCGGGCACGGGAGGTGAGTGGCAGAAGGGATGCCACTTGTCATGTCCGTCTTGCAGGGACAAAAATTCTCATCTGTCCTGGGAAGTGCTGGTAACACGGACCTGGGTTTATGTTGGAAGAGGGATGCTCAACGGGGGGACAAAGGTCCAGACCCTCCTCAGAGGCACAGGACCCTCACACTACTTTGCAGCAGGCTGGAAGGGGACTTATTTTTTCGGTCTTAACCCATCAGAAGAGAAAGGGCGGAGGCTGCAGGACAGCCAGGACAGCCAATGCAGCATGCCTGACCTATGCTGCCATGCCGACCCAGAGCAGGGACAGCCACGGGACCCGGGGACCGAGCTCCAGCCCCACTGCCGTGTGCTGTGGGCGCCCGGCGGGGCCCCGAGACCCAGGTGAATTCACAGGCATTCCAGGTGGAGTGCCATGCACCGCAGCCCAGCTCCATGCACGACCCACTGTGGGTCCAAGCCCCTGGATGCCCCTCCTTTCAGCCTGGGTCCAGAGGCCCAAAGTGAGCCTGGGCACAGCAGGAAGGGACGTCCGCCATCGTGGGGATGGCCGTGCTCTGCAGCTGCCCCCGCCCCCGGGACCCGCAGGGGCTTCTGCGCAGGCAGGCTTTACCTTGGGCTCAGACAGGGCCTCCCACTCCCTGGCTGGTTTTTTGCTGGAATGGCCAGAGGGGAGGGAAAAGGAAGTGAGAAGGGACAGTGGGGACCCGTGGGATGCCCATCCCCCACCCCAGAAACACTCAGACCCCAAACACCAGCTTGACAGAGCAGTTGTCGGGTGGCTATAAGGACACCACTCTGCCATTTCATATAGGGTCCCCCATTTCATATAGGGTCACCCAGCCCAGGGCCCAGTACCCCACCATCAAGCACCCCTGCTTCTGGGCTACAAAAGTGCTTTCTGATTGTCAAGAGTTCCCCGGTTAAAGTGCAAGTTCCCTGAGGAAGGTAAAACTTCAGGGTGGGTGAGCCCGGGGGGAGACCACAGCCAGCGGTGTGCCCTGGCCGCAGTCCCCGCAGGAGCCACGCGGGGACAGCCCGCAGAGCGGCTGAGCAGGGCGCGCTGCCCAGCTCCCCGGTCCACGGAGGGCAGGCGGGCACTCACGTGAGGTTTCCGGGCACCGACAGCGCGCGCTCCTCCCGCCGGCTGCCCTCGAACGGGTTCCCGAAGGAGCGTTTTCGGATCATGGTCTTCACCAGGATCTGCAGGGGAGAAGGGGAGGCTCAGCCATCTGGACGGGGATTCCAGGCAGCATCCTGCCTCGTTCCTTCTCCCCAGCCCCTTGCCAGCTCCCAGGGCGGCGTCCAGGACACAGCAGCCGAAGCCATCGCCAACTGTGATCGCTCCACTCACACCCCCCGTGGCTCCCTGGCCACCAACAAACAAGGTCCAAACTCCTTGGTCTGACGTTCAAGGCCCGTCCAAGTCTGGTCTTGGCTACCCGACCCCCGGGCCCGAGGTCCAGGAGAGCGGGCCTGCGCGCCTCCTCCCGGCCATCCTCTGCCTCCTGCTCAGCGACCTGCCTCGTGCTCAAGGCCAGGCCGCTGCCTTTGGTGACCGCCTTCGATGACCACACCACCAAAACCCGACTACGGCTCCCCAGGTGTAATGGGGGAAGGAGGGGCACTGTACTTCTAAAAAATTGAAATATGCCCTGGTGGATTTGGCTCGGCGGTTGGAGCGTCGGCCTGCGGTCCAGAGAGACCCGGGTTCGGTTCCCGCTAAGGGTGCGTACCTGGGTTGCCGTTTGTCCCCGGCCCTGGTTGGTTGTGTGGGTGGCAACCACTCGATGTGTCCCTTTCACATCGATGTTTCTCTTTCTCTCCCTCCCCACTCTATCTGAACAAAAAATGGAAAAATGTCTTCGGGTGAAAAAAATTGAAATACAACTCCCACAGAATAAAAGTCACCATTTGAAAGCGTACAATTCCATGGTTTTTAGTCAATTCCCATCACCACTATCTAATTTCAGAACATTTCCATCATTCCAAAAAGAAACCCCTGTCCCCAGTTAGCAGTCACTCCCCGTTCCCCGTCTCCCGGCCCCTGGCGTACACCAGTCTGCTTCCGTCTCTGAACGCGTCTCTTCCGGACATTTCATGCAAGTGCAACAATACAGGATGTGACCTTTTGGGTCTGGCTTCTTTCACTCAGCACAATGTTTCCAAGGGCCGGCTATGTTGTATCAGTATTTCATTCCTTTTCATGGCTGAATAATATTCCTTTGTATGGATATACGTTTTCTTTATCTATTCCTCTACCGGTGGGCATCTGTGTTGCTTCCACTTTGTGGCTATCGCAAATGCTGTTGCTATGACCATTTGTGACCAGTTTTTGTGTGGACACCCAGGAGTGAAATGCTTGGATCACGTGGTAACTACGTTTAACATTCTGAGGAACTGCCAGACTGTTTTCTACAGTGGCTGCACCATTTTATATTCCCACCAGCAGCATGCAAGGATGCTGTTTTCTCGGGACTGCATTTTAGTCAGGAATGAGACACACCTGTCCAAGTATGAGGAGCTAAGGAAACATCCTAGGGCACTAGGATGGCCAGGCTGGTGTGGTGCGAGGGCAAAGGAGCTCAGTGGTCCTGAAGGTCCTTCTCAGTCTGAGAGGTGCTGGGGGCTGGCTTGTCCATTGCCAGGTGTGGGTCCTCTTTGGTGTGCCCTCCTAACCCAGACTGGGTCTCCAGCTGGGTTGGGAAATGCCTGTCTGAGGAATGGATCCTTTGGGAACAGGTAACATCCCTCATCACGTCCCTTGGCCACTGCTCGGCTCCCCTTCTCTGCCTCCCATCCCTTCTGACACTCAGATCTGATTCCTTCACTCCCTTAGAATCTCTCGCCCATAGGAGTTTGGATCTTATCCTGTTGCCAGCCAGGGAGCCATGGAAGGTTCTGGAGCAAGGGAGTGAACCAGTTACCTTTGGTGATGCTTCTGGCTAATGTATCCCATGAAGGACTTTTCAAGGAAATGGCCTCCACGCCACCTAGGGCTCTGGCCCCCATGCCCTTCAGGCAAAGCACGGGGCCACTTCAGCAGTTTCATGGACTGAGACTGATATTTTAAGGGTTTGTTGCTAAGATAAATAAGTTTTAAAAAAAAGGATTTACTAAAAGGTGGAAACACTCAAATGTCCAACTGAAGAACAGATAAACCAAATGTGCTCTATCCATATAGTGGAATATTACTCAGCCATAAAAAGGAAGGGCATGCTACAATGTGGATGATCTCAGAAACACTATACCAAATAAAATGACCAGACACAAAAGGCCACCAATTGTATGGCTCCCTTTATATGAAATGTCCCGAACAGGCAGCAAATCTGTAGAGACTGAAAACAGAGAGGTGGCTGCCAGGGGCTGATGGGGACAGGGTTTCCCCTAGGGTGACGATGTTTCAGAACTTCCAAGGTGATAGTTGCACAATATTGTAAGTGTAACAAACAACACTGTATTATTCACTTTCAATGGGGAAAGAAGGGAGACGTCTGTAATACTTTCAACAATATAGATAAATTAACAAAAAGGGAAAGGTGGTTCATTTTATGTTACATGGGTTCTATCTCAATAAAAAAGAAAAACAGCCTGAGAGAATGAAGGCCATGCCCCTTGGCGAGGCAGCCTCTGGCACTTTCCTCCGGGCCTTTGCAGGGGTCGCTCCCCCGGGCAAAGCCACCCTGCCCTGCCCCCCCAGGGGGCCTTGTCTAACCGGCCAACCCTCCCAGTGCTGGACCCAGCCGCAGGAGCTCCTCCCGTGAACCCTCCACTCTGCCCGGCCCGTGTTGGCGCAGGAAGGTGATTCTTCATGAGGCCAGGAGTCCCCCGAGGGCAGGAGCTGTGCCTCATTCATCTCTGCAGCCCATACGCTGGGTGCCGGGGGGTGGGGGGGCTGGACTTCCCTGCTCCAGCCACCCCCCCTCAGAAGACTGCAGTAGCCCCCACTTCCTCCCTGGCCCCGTAGGCCATTCTCACGTGGGACCTTTCCGAGGCCCCCCCTGACCACTTCCCACACCTCTGGGTGCACAGCCGCTTCTCCCAGGGGGCCTCCCCCAGCCCATCACCTGGGACATGTCCCCCCTTGGGGTACATCTCATGGCCCCTCAATTACACTGCACATTTATTTGTTGGTTGTTTGCCCAGCGTCTGCCTCTCCAGGATGCCAGGTGCCTGGTCGGTTTTACTCATCACAGTATCCCTGCTCCCAGCACAGGCCTGAGAAAGCGGTCAGTGTTCAAGGGCTCCCTGAATAATCGACGACTAGCTCAGACCTCCAGGGTCAGACGCCTTCTCCCAAGAACATCCCAAGCCTGGAACAGGATACCCCACGGTGGGCGCTGGGGTCCACGCCAGCCGCCTGCCCCTCCGGGCGAGGGACATGGGTGCAGTGGGTGGATGAGAAAGAGTGAGTGGGTGCGGGTGAGTCTTTAACAGTGAAGGTCATGCAGAGGCCCCAGGTGGGGAAGGAGGAGGAAGATGTACATGATGCCCCGCCCAGAGCTCAAGGCTTGGAAGGAAGTGTGTGAGGAAGCAGGCGGAGGGGTGCAAAGCTGGGAGAGAGGGAGCCAGCACTTGGGCTCCTACGGGGGCAGCCAGTGGAGGCCGGCAGGCCCAGGGCGGCCGGGCCGTCGTGAATGCTGCTGCTATGACACGTCTGTGGTCCCGGCCATGCTGGGTGGCCAGCTGGATGCTGTCCCAGGACTACGGCCTGGATCCGGGCCCCTGAGGGTCCTGGGCCCCCTCCTGGAGCCAGGTGCCTGATGGGCAGGGGCTTGGCAAGTGGGTGACTCCCAGAGTCTCCAGGTTAAGCCTGAGGACTCCACATTCTGGCCCCTGAGGCCTGGTGACTCGTGAGCAAACCCCCCGCCCCCCGGAGGTGGCACGTGGAGGGGGAGCCCCTGCCCCTAGCCCTGGAACTGCCCGCGCGGCAGACATGAGATGGGCTAAGCCGTCTGCTCTGGAGACTGGGGATCCCCACCGTGGGAATCCTGTCCCAGAGACCTGGGCTCCAGCTCCACCTGGCACCGCCCTGGTCCTTCTCCAGCTCCCGACATGCTCTGAAAGCAGGAACTCGGGAAGGGGCAGGAGGATCCTTGGAGAGGGGCTACTCCTCTACCACAACCCGGGACCTGGCCACAGACAGACTAAGGCTAGAAGACACGGGCGCTGGCCCAACGTGTGCCCGAGGCCCGGAGGCTGGTGGCTGCAGCTCTGGGGCAGAGCCGGCCATCCCCGGACTTTCAGGCCCAACGTCTGCTTCGCCAACGCCCGCCTGTGTCGCAGCCTGTCCTCCGGGGGCCCGCCTCCGGCGACTCTCTCTGTCCCTGCTCTCGGTCAGTGGTTCGTCCGCCTTACCACGGTCGCCAGGCTGGGAATGTGTTTGACCGAATTCTCGACCTCCTCTTCGGTCACCTCGACCAGCGTGCAGTTCTCGTCCTCGGAGGGCAACGGCTCCGCCCCGTGCCTCGTGACCCAGGGGTGCAGCTTCAACGAATGACAGGAGGGGTGAGGGGTGGGTGCAACTGGCTCCCAGAGGCAGGGCAGCGGAGCCAGGGAAGGGATGCAGGAGGGGAGAGGCAGCGGCCGGAGGTCAGACATGCAAGAGAGCTGAGAAGCCAGGCAGAGGACGCCGGTGAGCAAGATGGGAGGAGATGTGGAAGAGACGAGACAGAGAATGGGAGGAGCTACGAGGCCGGGCCATGCACGGAACAGATGCCCATCCGGCCCCTGGCCCTGGCACAGTGGCTGGAATTTGGCATCTGCCGTGCACGGTTGCCGGAAGAGAACCCATCACTCCCCAGCAACTCTCCCCAGTGCCTGGAAGCTCAGCTCAGAGCAGGCAGCATCCTCCCCCTTTACAGAAGGGCAAACACAGGCTCGGGGAGGCACAGTGACCACAGACCAGCTGGAAGGACACAACAAGGAAAGGACCTGGGCAGCGATCTGTCCCCTACCACACACCCCTGGGTCTAAGCCCTAATCTGTAACTTTTTGGGCTTCTCCTTCTTCAAATGCTAGTTAGCTGGGTGCCTGGGGGTTCCCGAAGCAAATCTCTAGGTTTCTTAACGAGCCAGATGTGTGCATCTGGCCTTGGTTAGGGTGTGGGGGTAACTGAGGGTCTCTCCTAACAGCGCTTTCTGAAACGGTGGGATTCAGCAGGCTGGGGCGGAGCGTGGGGGCAAAATGCTCACTAACTTCCTCCCGCCTGCACTGCAATTTCTCAAAGGGATGGGCAGGGTCAGAGCGAGGGCCCAGGACTTTGGCAGCCAGGGTGCGGAACACCCGGAGGCCCCATCTGGTCTGGTCAGGGATGGTGGATGCCATCAGCCCAGGCCAGGCGGAGTGAGTGTTGGCTGCCCCGCTAGCAGCAGATCCCGTCTACACGATCACATCAACACAAGCCTCAAATCCTCCTCCCCGCCAGCAGCCCCCAGCAGCCCAGAGGCCCCAGGGCATGACGCTGTGGATGTGGGCGAGGGGCCTGGCCAAGGCGGGGTTGAGCCAAACAATCCCAAGCAGAGGACCCAGGCCAAGCCGCTGGCACACACTCGACGGGGCAGCAGTGGCCCCCAGGTACCTTGATCTCTGGCACCATGATCCTCGACTCGGGGTTCTTGTCCAACATGCGGGTGATCAGGTCCTTCAAGTCCTCAGCTATGTCGGGCCTGGGGGTCAGAGATATGTCAGAAGTTTGAAAGACAGACAGGCAGGACCACGGAGGACTCAGAGAAGGAAGCAACTCAGGATAGCCGGGCGATACTCACTGGTCTGGGAATTCCAGGGCCTGACTCTTGATCTTACTGTGTAAACACATGATCCGTTCGTCCATGAACGGGCACTGCGGAGAGGTCAGAGCAGCCATCAGTGGCTGGCACACCTGTCCCGTAAAGGCCGCCCTGTACTGGTGTCACTCCACACGGGTTACAGTAGAAGAAAAAAACAGCCCCGTAGCCTGATCTAGGGCGGAAGAATTCCCACCCCCACCCCCAAGTTCTTGAAGGATCAGAAATAAAGCAAACATTCTTCTTCACCCACCTACTAGGTGAACAATAGTAATTCCAAGAACAATACAAAAGCTGTCACAGCAACAGCAGAGATTTGCAAGGGCTTGGCCTGGAAGTTTCTCAGAACTAACATTTCACTGGCTGTTGCCTCTGCCTGGAATGTTCTTCCCACCAACACCCGCCTGGCTTGTTTTCTTCTTTCATTCAGGTGTCTAATCAAAGCACCCCTTCTCAGCAAGGCCTTCCTGAGCTCCTGTCTGAAACAGACACGCCCCCCCCCCCCACGTCTTCTCACCACGGCACCTCTCTCTGACAGCACGTTACATTCGTGTTTGTTTACTGTTTGTCTCCTGCACCGGAACATCACCTCCAAGGGGGCTGACACTTCTGTCTGTTTTGCCCATTGCTGACTCCCCACCGCCAGGAACATCCCTGGCACAGAGTAGGGGCTCGAAAATTCCTTGTTGAAGGAATGAGCACCTCAATGGTTTTTGTCGATCCTCTCAGTAGCCATAAGAAATACTAAGCATTATTCTCATTTCACAGGAGAGAAAAGCAGGACCTCAGAGGTGCCATGTCCTGGGAAGCGCCGAGCTGAGATTTAAGCCTAGACCGGGCTGACTCTGCAGCCCATTCATGTACCACCTCCCGAGTTTGACAAACCAATGCTCTCACCCAGAGGAGCCTGGGGGGCGGCGGGGGCAACCTTTATGTGAGTGCTCAGAAGGTTGGGAAAAGTCTCAGAAAGTGACCTGGTCCACACGCCTGTCCAAGGAAAATGAGCTCATTAAGAGCACCAATTTGAGATAGGAGTTCAGGTTACACAGGTGCATATTGGACAGAGCTCATTAAAGAGTACACTTAAGATCTGTACATTTCACTCTACGTCAATTTCAGAGAGAGAGAGAGAGAGAGAGAGAGAGAGAACCAGGAACAAATGGTGAGCTCCATCTCATGATTCACCCTGAAGCATCTGGAAGTGCAGAGATGTTGGTAACTTAGTCTGAAATGTGTAAAAAACTAAGACAGACTGAGGATGCATGGATATGTGATAAAGCAACATTCTTTACAGTACAATCTAGGTGGCGGCTGCGTGAGTGTTTACTGTACAATTCTTTCCGCTGTGCTATGTGACTGAAAATTTTCTGATCAAATGTTGAGGGGAGGAACTGCCAACTCCATTATGTCCTCACCAGTTTCTTATGTTTCCCTCAACAGGAGCACAAGCTCACGAAAAGGGAAAAATCTATCCTTTTATTGCTCATATATGTACTCAATCTGAACATCAGAGTTAGAAACAGAAGCCCCTAAATATCAATAATATCTTTTAAAAATGGATGAAAAAAAAAAAAGACAAAACAGTACTCCCTAAATTATAAATGCCAAATGGATTTTAACTTCCATTCGAATTCTATCCCTCAAACAAACAGCTTCTAGGAACACTCTGTTGAGAAGAACAGCAAAGCAGTATGGGGCTCAGGAGAAGCGCAGTCATTGATTAGTGATGCCTGTCTCGGTTTCGGAGTGGGGCTCATGAGAAGTGCAGTCATTGATTAGTGATGCCTGTCTCGGTTTCGGCGTGGGGAGAGGGGCACAGTTGCTACTCCCGTCCTAAATCTATCGATTGATTATTGACAACCTCTAAGAACCTCTGCCAATCCTTCTGTTTTAACAGATCATTTCTTAAAAGGTGTGACGATCATATCCAGATATGTACATTTGGAAGGCATCCTTTTTCATATTCAGATCTAACTGTGGAAATAAAGTTATATAACTTTTAAATGAATAAGTACTTTCTCCTGGCAAAGGTAATTATTTCTTTCTTTTAAACATTTCTTTTTTTATTTTATTTTTTCCTTTATTGACTTTAAAGAGAGAGGAAGGGAGAAGGAGAGAGAGAGAAACATCAATAAAAGAGAACAACTGGCCGCCTCCTGCATGCCCCCGACTGGGGATTGGGGGGGCCCACAACCTGGGCATGTGCCCTGACCAGGAATCGAACCGGTGACCTCTTGGTGCATGGGTCGATGCTCAACCACTGAGCCACATCGGTCGGACACAAAGGTAACTATTAACCCAAGGGGGCCACCCAGCCATACCTAGGAGGCAGGACAACCCCAGCCTATTACCTGGCCAAACACAAAGCAGTACAGTGTCACACCCATGGCCCAAACGTCCAAGGCCTGCAAGAAAAAAAAGGAGCTTCACATGAGGGGACAACGGTAAGGGGCATCTACCACTTTTGCCTGTCCAGCACCAACTCCTCCAGCTTTCCTTCGGGAACCACTTCTCCTTGACTCTCAGTCCACAGAGCTGAGGTGGGGTTGATTCCACCTTCGACCTCTGGGTGGGCAAAGGACCCAGGCCTGATCAATGAGTACCACTTCCCCCAGCCACAGTGATTGGTTCAAAGATGGGCACATGACCCAGGATGACCAATGAGTACCACCAACCCTCCAGTCATAACGATTGGCTCAAGGTTAAGCACGTGACCCAGGCTGGGCCAGAGCCAATCCCAGGATTTTTGCTGGAGCTCTTCGGGAAGACTAACGGTCTTTCTACTGAGGTTGGTAAACTGACAGAGAGTAGCCTGGGCTGCTGGTGACTGACCCACCTGGAGAGGAAACCAATTCAGGAAAACAGACCTAAGAGACGGAGAGACTGATTCCCATTTGCATATCTGTATCTAACCAAACCCAAAGCCCAATGTATCCTGCTCATCGACAGGGTTTAACAGCTTCAGTGTTTCAGCCACTTTGAGATGGATTTTCGCCACTCACGACGGAGAGGACCCGAACGCAGGCAGAACTCAGCGTCTCCAACGGGTCCAAGCCTACCTTCCCAGAGAAGATTTTCCGGGTCTCAGAGAGTGACTCGGGCGCCATGAAGGCAGGCGTGCCCACGGTGTTAGAGAGGAGCGCGTCGCTGCCCTTGAACTCGTTGCTCACGCCGAAGTCCGCAATCTTGATGTGCCCATCTTCTCCGACCAAGAGGTTGGAAGGTTTGATGTCCCGGTGGATGATCTTCTGGTAGTGTACTGGGGGCGAGGTAGACACCAGAGGGGAGAGAGGGGACAGGAAAACCACGTGAGGAGTTCCACGTGCCCCGCACAGACCAGAGACACAGGCTGGACCCCTCTGTTCTCCCAGTCCCATACCCTGCCTGTCCTCGCCCTCTAAGACCTGCTGACACCGACAGCTCTGAAAGACAAGGGGAAGAGTCTTTAAGGATGTTCCCCCGTCCTCGCAAAGGAGGAGTGAAACACCAACTGCCCAGAGCAATTAGGAACTGCTCGGTCACCCAGGGACAGAGCATGGCTCCCAGCTTTAAGCCTCAAGATCTGCGACAGCCAAACATTTTTTCATTTACTAATGCCAGCACTCAACCTGCTCACCAAACCAACAATGACCAGCAGGTCGATGTGCTGTTGCACTGGATGATTTCAGCCCTGGTGAGAGACACTTTGTGCCCATTTTACAGATGAGGAAACTAAGTTTCCAGGAGATAAACAGGATCCCTGGATCCAGGGCTGTTGGGCATAAGGGACAATGGAAGTAGAACCCCTAATGGTGCCTGGTACACACAGAAAGTGATGAATAACGGTCACTCTTGTCACTGCTCATAATTTTCCTGTGTGTCAGGAATACGCTGCCCAGGCCATGGCCACAGGCGGTTCTCGGCAGCTTCCTGTGACCCTGCAGCTCAGACGATTCTGTTCCCCGCCCACCTCCTTGAGATCTACGAGCGGTGGTTCTCAACCTTCCTGATGCCCCGACCCTTTAACACAGGTCCTCGTGTCGTGGTGATCCCCAACCATAAAATTATTTTCGTTGCTACTTCATAACTGTAATTTTGCTACTGTTATTTATGTCTTAGGCGACTCCTGTGAAAGGGCCGTTCGACCCCACAGGTTGAGAACCGCTGTCTAGGAGGAAAATAAGCAACTCCCCACTCTCCACCCCACCCCCCCAATGCCGGCCAGCCCGGGACAGACTGCCCCCAGGCCTCACTCACGGTACTCGATGCCTTTGATCAGATCCTGGAAGTAGAAGCGGGCCTGGTCTTCGGACAGCGGTTTGAGGGTGGGCACTTCCATCACAGGCCTGGAAGGCCGACCGGGCATGAGAAGCACACCCCCCGGCCGGCCCCCGGCTTCCCGCACGCCCAGCCCAGCGCTGCCTCACTCCGCTTCGCAGCCGCGGGAGCTCCGGGCAGCACACCCGCCGGGCGGGGGGGGGGGACACTCACCCTTGTTTGACCAGTTCGAACACTGCAGGGAAGAGAAGGGGGACGTGGTTACACTGGGAAAGTGGAAAGCCATCTTTCGCCCCATCATCCCGACCACCTCTGAAACACCGAGAAGCACAGAAACGTCCTGGGACTGGAGAGAGGGCACAGTCCACCCACCACGCCGCCAGAGTCCTCCTTTCCGTAGTTCCCATCAGGAGGCCAGGGTCAGAGAGCCTGGCTATATATACTTCACTCCTCAAAATACCCGGAGGAAGAGGCGGGCGGGGACGGCTTCACTCACACCTCAGGGGTCCCAGGGACATGTATGACCGATGCTGGACGGTCAGGTCTAAGGGACACCACCCAAATGTCGATTTCCTTAAGCCCAGAGAAGTAGCCATAGGGGTCTTCAAAACCCTAGGAAAGTTTCGATTCAAGAAACAGCATGGACAGGTTCCAACAGCCCCGCCCAGGTCTCCAAGCTGCTGGGCCCGGTCAGGCTCCAGACCAGGAATGTTTGGATGATATTGCTCCAAGTCCTCAACACCCTGGTCCGCTGGCCCTCGACCCTCCTCCTGCCTCTCAATCCAAACCAAGACTTCTGGCTGCCCAGCAGAGCCTGTCTGAACTCACATCCACAAACAACATGCCCAGGCGTCACACCATGCCAGCTTCTTCCCAGCCCTGTGTATGTAGGAACTGCCCCCTCCCCCGCCCACCATAAAGTATCAGAAAAACTGTGTTCAGGGAACACATAATCCAGCCCCCAGCGACTACTAATCTGCTTCCTGTCTCTATGGATTTGCCTATTCTGGACATTTCTATATTTGGAATCAGACAAAACTGACGTTTTGTGACCGGCTTTTTTACTCAGCACATTGCTCTCATCCATGTTGTAGCATTTAGTGCTTCATTCCTGTTTATGGTTGCGTAATATTCCACTGTATAGACAGACGACATTTTGCTTATCCATTCATCAGTTGATGGACCTCTGGGTTGCTTTACCCACGGGCTATTGTGAGTAGTGCTGCCGCGAACATTCATGTACAAGTAGCTGTCTGGATAGCTATTTCCGATGCTTTTGAGTATAAACCCAGGAGTGGAATTGCTGAGTCACGTGGCATAATTACTATAATTTTGTTCTGCTTGGACAAACAGAACTGTGACTATGAAGCTGTACTTTAAGAAGTGAAAAACAACACAGTGAGATTCAAAATCAGGTAGAGATGACTTTGGGGTTGCCTGCTGTTCTAGACTCATCTACCCACATGGGAGTGAGTGTATGGAAGAAACCAGAAGGTTTTTCAAAGCTCTCCAAGGGCTGATGTGGCCAAGGAGAAAGAGCCAACTCCTCCAGCAAAAGGAAGTCTTAAAGGTTCTAACCATGAAAGGAACTTGACTCCCTGGGGGCCCCTTTCTGTCGTCAGGTTCATTAACCAGCAAAGCAGAGGTAAGGCAGATCCAAGTGGCTTCAGGCTATGGCCAAGGGCAAAGGCAACAGCACTGACGAAAGGGCCACAGTCAGCAGCCCTGGGCCTCAGCGCTGGCCTTTCCCCCCTTGGTCATCGCAGTTGCAACTTGCAAGAGCTGCTTCGTGAGTTTCTGCGCCTTCCTCCCACCCACCCAAGCACCGTAAACCAGTCATGGGGGAAGCTGGCCTGGGGGAAGCTGGCCTGCCGAGGCGGGTCTACCTTCAGTCACTCACAGCTGAGCCCCACTTGCAGCTGAGTGGCGGGTGGAAGTGTTTAACCTCTAGAAATACTGGTCGTGTTCTCCAACCTCTGAGAGTCAGGCCTGCAGCCGCGGGACCCTTGCTGATAGCTGCTACAGCCTCGCATGCTACCCTGGAAAGATTTCCCAAACACCGGGACCAAATGCCAAAGGTCAGCATGGCTCCGTGTCACACTGGCTCCTTAAGAAGCAAAAAACTCTGTCCGTGAAGCTGCCTGATTCACACTTACAACCCCCCCTGGGAGCCTGGTCATGTTCCTTTTATCTTCATTGGCCTCTGCTCACCCTCCAACGGCACCCTTCTAGCTCAGGATAAAAGGCAAGGTTTTACAGGGTGAAACATGTCCTCTGCCATCTGGTCCCCACTGTCCTGCGCAAAGGCCACTCCGTGAGGGATCTCGGGAGCCACTTGCTTCCCAACCCCCCAACCTGGACTCCTGGCTCCCCGGACCCTGCTCAGGTTTGCTGTTCTCCAGTGTGCTCACCTCCGGAGCCTACGAACAATGCTTAGGTACTGAGTGTGTCTGTCTGTCCTCACTAGAGCAATCAATATCCCGAGGGCAGGCAGGGAGTTCTGAGTCGGCTCCTGGAAGAACCTGGAACAGGGCCCAACAAGCTGTAATGTCTGTAGAATGAACCGCCTCCTCAGGCACAGCCCAAAGCCACGCGTTGTCAGGTCTGGGGCCCCAGGTGAGCGGAATGAGGTGGGGATGCCATTCTGGGCCAGAAGTATCTTTCACATTTTATAATCAGCGCTGAATGTCCTCGAATTTCACTCACACGCCTATCATGTTTATAATCCAGCCATATCCGTGTATCACGTAAACTATTACTTGTTTCATTTTTCTTCCTTTAAATCGACTCGGCTTGAACATTTTTAGCCTTGTCCTAGGTAACGAACCCATGAAATCATGAGTTACTGTGCTGCTCACAGCCCTTCCTAGACAACGATAAACTGAAGCCAAACAAAAACTTAAAAAATGTCAGTCCACGTGCCACCCAAAATCGCCTCACATATTTAAAGTGGCGACGGTGCCCCATGTGGAAAAATGCTGCAATCCTGTAACGTTCACGTTTTTATTTTTCTTTATTTTGGGGCACTGTTCCCAAAGGCACTGCAATACCGGGTCGACGCGTGGAGGGGACCAAGCAAGCTCCTATTCCCTCTCCCGGCTCCAAAAATCCATCTCACATACTGCCCTCGGACAGAGGACGTATCAGATGTTACACTGATAAGAACAGATGCTACCTTGACCTTGGCCAAAAGGCTGAGAAGCGACCGTTCACATCTTCATCATCTTTCAGTTCTTTAAAGTTAACGGATCTGATGTGATGTACTATGTAGCCCCCAAACTGTTTGAAAAGTTCTAAAACTCAAACATGGACTGCACACTAGATGCTCCTAAGGAACTGGCGTTAACTTTTTCAGATGTGACAACACTCTTGTGACCAGGTAGGAGAGAGTATCCTTGTCACGAGAGTCACACTGAAGTATTTAGGGGCTGACGTGTCCAGATGTCTGGTATTTTACTTTTGGATGGTTCAGCAAAAACAACAACAACAACCAGAAAAATGTACGGGAAGGTGGTTAGACTGATCAAGCAAATGTGACAAAAAGTTAACTAACTGCTGAATTGAGGGGACAGGTACACAGGTGTTCATTATACTATTCTTTCAACTTTTCATAGTAAAAGCCTGGGGGAGGGGCATAAAAAAATAAACTGTCCTAATCAACAACACCATCTTTGCAACTGAACCATAGTGACTATTTTAGAGGAAGTTGAGCTCTGAGCTCTATTTTATTTCTTTTGTTTTTAATATGTTTTTGATTTTTTGAGAGATGGAAACATCGATGTGAGAGAGAAACATCAATCAGCTGCCTCCTGCACGCCCACCACTGGGGATCAAGCCTGCAACCTGGGCATGTGCCCTGACTGGAATCGAACCCGGACCTCTCAGTCCAAGGGGCGACACTCAGTCCGCTGAGCCACACCAGCAGGGCTCTGAGCTCTATTTTCAAACTAGATTCGTGACATTATGATCAACCACTCCTTGTGCAGCAAAGGACCACCCAGGAGATTCAGGCTCCAGGCTGGGCTCATCCGTGCCCACTCCTCACATCTGATACCCTCTCAGCTGTCGTGTGTACCCACTCTCATGAATGCCCACCCAAGCCAAGCAGCACCAAGACGTGACCTGTCGATCATTCATTCCTGGGCCCAACAGTCTGCTGTCCAGTTTGAACTCGTCCTGACCTTCTTTCCCTTATCAGCCTCACCCTGGAGGCTGCCCCATGCTCTCACCACTTTTTTATTTTATCTATTTTTCTTTATTGATTTTACAGAGAGAGGAAGGGAGGAGACAGAGACAGAAACATCGATGAGAGAGAACATCGATTGGCCGCCTCTGCACGCCCCTCACTGGGGATCAGGCCCACAACCTGGGCATGTGCCCTGACCGGGAATCAAACCGGCGACCTCTTGGTACATGGTAGACGCTCAACCACTGAGCCACACTGGCCGAGCATCTCACCACTTTTCTGAAATGAGGTTTCTGAAGACACGCCTGAGTCCTTCCGTTGGTGTGTGCAGTGCCCAGACGCTCTGTGCTACCCCACAAGGTTCCAAATACCCTACCACGGCCTCCCAGACCCTCCACCCTCAACCCCACCCTTTCTCCCTGGTTTACTCTGCCCCAGCCACATTTTTTTCAAACACACTAAGGTCCCGCCAGCCTCAGGGCCTTTGTACCTGCTGTTCCCTCTTCCTAGAATGTTCTTCCCTAGATGTCCTTGACACGTAGGTGCTTAATGGTCACCTCGTGTCTGCAGTGGCCCCTCCATCTATCACACTGTTTGACCTTCTTCAGAGCATCTATCTGAAGTTGATTATCTGGCTTATTTAGGTGTGGACCGTCTTCCCCAACTACAACGTCAGCATCATAAGAGCAGGACCTCATCTTTCTAACTCATCACAGCATTCTCAGTGCCTAGAACAGTGCCCAGCATATAGCAGGTGCTCAACAAACATCTGCAAATGAATGAATAGGACATCCAGACAGACAAAGTTCCAGCAAGAGCTGCCTTCCATCTCCTGCTTCAAATCAGGTGCAGGGTTCCGTGGGACTCCACGTGGGCCCCGCTGAGACGGGGAAGGAGCAGCTGTCCTTGGCGGGAGATGGCAGCGGCAGGGCTGCACAGTGGCCTGAGCAAGGGTGGCAGACGGCAAGGGCTCAAGACTTACCCATGTACAGATGGTCCTCATTGGGGTCATCCAGGACCTGCACAGCCACATGGAACAGGCCGGAGACAGGAGCAAGGAGAGGAAGAGAGAGAAAAGATATCAGCGGAGAGGAAGTAGCATCCACGTGCCACAGTTGCCAACAGGAGAGCTGTGTGTCCACTGTTCCTCCTCGTTAAGCTGAGGGCGCAGGAAAAAGCCCCGAGTGTGCGATCCAAGCAGCCATCTGGAAAATGAGCACCATCTAGCCTGATCCTCAAGGGTCTGAAACACCCAGACAGGAGGCCACTAAGGGGATGGGGCAAATTCCTCCCTGGGAAATGCCTTAGCTTGAAGAAGAAGCTCACCTGTTGCCCTGGCTGGTTTGGCTCAATGGTGAGAGCGTCGGCCTGCGGACCAGAGTCACGGGTTTGATTCTGGTCAAGGGCACGTACCTCAGTTGTGGTTAGTCCCTGGCCCTGGTCGGGGTCATGCAGGAGGCGACCAGGCGGTGTGTCTCTCTCACATCGATGTCTCTCTCTCTCTCTCCCCCTCCTTCCCTCCCTCCCACTCTATCTGAAGATAAACAGAAAAGTGTCTTTGGGTGAAGATTAAAAAAAAAAAGCTCACCTGTCTCCTAGGAGACAACTGTACACAATGTTTCCCGAGCAGTGTGTCTGCTGACCCTCACACCTACCGAAGGTCGAGACGCGCCCCTCCAGAAAGAGGCCTCGGGCCCTTTGCACATTCTGTTCCTTTCCCTGGGACGCCCTTCTCCGTCCGGGAACAACCAGGCAACCTCAAATACCACTTCCCCCGAGAAGCCTCCCCAGGCCCTTCGGGCTGAGCTGGCTGCTCCTACTCCGTACTTCCGCAGGACTACAGGCACACGTCCGGTAAAGTACTTGTCACACACTGTTTACAAGTCCTTGTCACCTAGACCGGAGGTACTCTGACTGTGGTCATGGGACTTCTGGAAGTCCCCAAGGTGCTTTCGGTGAGTCCACAAGGTCAAAACTATTTTCCTTCTAAAACGAAGACAGTATTTGCCTCTCCCACCCTCATCCTCTACTAGCGAGGGGGGCTTTCCGAAAACCTCGCGACACGTGACGTGACAGCAGGCTGGATGTAGGCGCGGACACGAGAACCCAGCCCCTTCTCCTCAGCCAGACAGAACAGCAAGAGTTTGCAAAAATGGAACACTACGCCTCTCTTCTCACTGCATTTTTTTTTGTTCAGAAAATAGTGATTTTTCATAAAACGATGTCACTTATATTAATATGAAGCAGGGTTACTGTTTTAAATGAATTAATAAGCAATGTTTGGATTTCTCAGTTTTACACTTCCAACGTGGTGGATGTTAGTAAACGTTACCCACATAAGCAAAAGCCTCGTGGGGTCCTCGGTGATTTTCTAGAGCCTCTAGGAGCCCTGAAAGCAAAGGTGAGACCGCTGGTCAGAGCCGGCTCGCTGCGGCGTGCGGACCGGATCCGCCGGCTGCTTTTGTAGATGAAGTCACGTCGGAACACAGCCACGCCCATTGTTTACACGTGTGTGGCCGCTTCTGTGCGACTACATCCATGCAGTACAAGGAGAACCGGCTCCGAGTGACAGAAATGAGTGAAGGGCCAGCCTCAGTGTCCCCCTGAGCCTCCATTTCTTCATCTGTACGATGGGAGTGGCAGTCTCAGGGAGGGGTACGGACTACATGAGATTTAGCGGGAAGGAGCCTCGGTCAGCAGCTACGACTCAGCCCTGGAGTAAGCTGTCAATGTGACCTGGCTCTCCCTGGGAGAGGCCAGCCGCCCCTCTGCGCCCCTGCAGCTCACCTCCACCAGCTTCACCACGTTGGGGTGGTCCAGCTTCTTGAGGATGGCAATTTCCTGGTACACCTGCTCGATGGGGCCCCTGGGCGGGATGCAGCCCCCCAGGGCCGGCCGGGTGCCTCGCGGCGGGGGGCGACCTGAGGAAGACACAGACCGTCTCAGTCTCAGGGCAGAGATTTCTCATAGAGGGCTGGAGAGACGATGCCACCAGGGCCTTCACACGGCCGCCTCCTCATGTGTCTCTGCTGCTGCTGCTAATCAGTGAGGCCGGAACCTCACTCCCCTCGCTAGCCTCCTATTAATCCCCTCCTTCCCATCCCAGGCCCCGGCCCAGTGAGGGTCAGGAGTTCACGGAGGTACTGAGAAAAGAGGTGTGGGGTCTGGCTTGGTAAACTGGATGTATCAGGGTGAGGCAGTCACTTCTCCTCTCCGGGGCTCAGAACCATGACCCCTCGTCTCCTTAACTCCTGAGACAGCAGAGATACGAAATGAAGTCAGGTGCCGACCAGTGTGGCTCGGTGGTGGAGCGTCAGCCCACACACTGAAGGATCTCGGGTTTGATTCCCAGTCAAGGTCACGTACCTGGATTGCAGGTTCAATGCCCGTCCCCGGTCAGGGTGCATGTGGGAGGCAACCAACCGATGTGTCTCTCTCTTTCTCACATCGATGATTCTCTCTCTCCTTCACTCCCTCCCTTCCACTCTCTCTAAAAAATCAACAGAAAAAAATATCCTTAGGTGAGGATGAACCAAAAACAAACAAACAAACAAAAGTAAGAATTGGAAAAAGAAGTTAAAGCCAAAATAAGACCAAAAAAAACCAACAACAACACAAAAGACTATGCAAAAAGAAAGGCAATCAGTCTACTGCTTGGCCCTGCAAGGACTAACAGTCAAAAGGTCTGGCTGGTGCGGCTCAGTGGTTGAGCATCGACCCTGCACCAAGAGGTCGCCGGTTCGATTCCCGGTCAGGGCACATGCCCAGGTTGTGGGCCTGATCCCCAGTGGGGGGCATGCAGGAGGCGGCCAATCGATGTTCTATCTTGTCGATGTATCTCTCTCCCCCTCTCCCTTCCTCTCTCTCTAAAATCAATAAAGAAAAAAAAATTAAAAGAAAACAACGGTCACAATGACGGAAAGACCCATGGTTAAAACTCATTATGCCGTACACGCTACGTAAGCAAGATTGAAGTGTGGCTCACAGAACTGTATGTTCTGTGTTTGGAAACGTAAAAGCAAGGGGCAGGTGTCAGAGGTGGGATGTGAAAAGGAGTTCGAAGGGAAAGGCCGGGAGGGTAGAACCAGCCTCGCCTTACAAAGTGAGGCGTCGAAAGGCACTCGCCGCACCTACTGGCACAGGGAGGGAAGCGACAAGTGCAGTGACCGCGGGGGGGCGAAGCAGCACGGCACCACTTCACCGCCTGCTTGGCAGAGGGAGTGACGAGCGGGTTAAGCACGAGAAATCCTCACCGGCCTTCACGGCAAGCCAGGCGGGGAGGCCGAAAATGGATAAATCAAGAAATAACGGTACAAGCTATTATCTGGCTCACGGTTCAGATAAGCCGAACAGACCAGGGTCCTGGTGACAGGAGAGGGTTTATGTGTTCTCTTATCTACTTGCTCTTTTTGGCCCAGATGACATTTTGCCCAGCAATGCTGGCCGGGAGCTTAGGTTGGAGCAGCCACTGAGCTCACCTGCAGCTGGATCATGTGACCAAGGCCGCAATTACCAGCTCCTAAAAGGGGGAAAGGGGGGGCTGCCTGGAGGGAGGAGGGGAGCAGAGCAAGAACCTGTTCTCCATTATACACCCTCCTGTCGTCGTTTTTGGAGATCTAGTTCAAATACCTCATGGAATTTAAATGTTTTTAATTCACCATTTCAAAATCTATAATTCAATGGTTTTTAGTACATTCATGAGGTTGTGCCACCATCACCACCTTCTAATCTAGAACATTTTCAGCCCCCCCCCCCAAAAAAAACCTCATACCTATTAGCAGTCTTCCCCACTCTCCTGACACCCAACCCCTGGAACCCTGGAACTCACCAATTCACTTTCTCTACGGATTTGCCTATTCTGGGCATTTCATATAAGTAGAATCATGTAATATGAGGCCTTTTTGTGTCTGGCCTCTTTCACTTAGCATCATGTTTTCAAGGCCATCTGTGTTACAGCATGAATCATTCCCTTTTTTGTTGTTGTTAATCCTCACCTGAGGATATTTTTTCCATTGATTTTTAGATAGAATGGAAGGGAAAGGGGGGGGAGAAAAGGGGGGAGAGAGAGAGAGAACGAGAAAGAAACATCAATGTGGGAGAGACACATCGACTGGCTGCCCCCTGCACAACCCTGATGAGGGCTAGGGATCAAACCTGCAACCCAGGTACATGGGAATCGAACCCGCAATCCTTCGGTCGGCAGGTGGACACTCTAACTGAGCCAAACCGGCCAGGGCTGCACTTAATCCCTTTTTTTCTTGTGGTACGTGCCCCTAGTGGAACCAAACCCGGGACTCTCTAGTCCACAGGCCGACACTCCAACCACTGAGCCAAACTGGCCAGGGCTGCACTTAATCCCTTTTTAGGGCTCAGTAATATTCCATTAGATAGACCACCTTGTGCTCATCCATTCACCAGCGGACAAACATTTAGGTGTTTCCAGTCTTTGGCCATTACAAATAGTGCTTCCACGAACATTCACGTACAAGCTTTTGTGTGAACACGTGCTTTCATTTCTCTTGGGTGGATACCGAGGAGGGGAATTGCTCGGTCATATGGTAACTCCATGTTTGACAAACTGTTTTCCTCCGATGGATTTTTTGACTTGTAACCTATATTACGTTAATAAATATCTTTTTAATGAAAATGAATTTAAAAAACCTCAGTAGGAGGCCCAGCACTGTCTTTGGGGTGTCCACCCAGGGCACCCCTGCAGGGACACCATTCAGTGGCATCCTCTCCGTCTTGCCCCAGCCCCTGTGCCCACGAGCAAGGCCCACCTGGCCCAACAGACTCACGTGGAAAGCCCGCCTGTCGGATCAGCTTCTTTTTGGACAGCACCTTCATCGCCTGCGGGAGAAAAGACCCCACGTCCGGATTGAAGCTCGGAGGAGCGGGGAGGGAGCGTACCCGCCACGCCCAGGCCTGCCGGAGCTCTTGGCTCCCCGGCTGCTTTGGGACAGTGTCATGAATGCAGAGGTTGTACTCCGGCCCCGAGGGTGCTGCCGGTTCCAGGTCAGCGTCCCAGTGGGAGAGCACAAGACTTGGGCGTCACTGCCATCGAATGGAGACATGAGCGAGCTGGGATGATGGACGAGGAGCAAGGGCAGGACTGGCTGTTTGACACACGGGGAAAGCGAGGTTCAGCAGTTACATCACTTGTCTAGGGTCACGCAGTTGGCACATGGGAGAGGCAGGATCTGAACCCACACCGGACTGACTCCAAAGCCTCAGCGACAAGGGCCATTGGGCTCACTACCTCCTGGTTCTCAGTGCTATCAAGGATGTAGAAATGGTGGCCAATAGGAAGGACATGAGACGTCTGCTGATTCATTCATTCTTCCTGAACTGTCATGTTACCTTCCTAAGTCCCCATCTGTAAAATGGGGACACCACTTCCTTCCTAATGCACAAAATGAACATGACCTAACAAAATAACAAAATGGCTATGAAAGCCTTCCAGAAATCTGAGTGCTGAAAAAGAAGTCTTTTCCTTTGGACAAGGATGGGGGCAGGGAGAGGGACGTCGATACTCACATAGTAGGTATTGTCATTTTCATTGTAGGCCAACTTGACCACACCATAGGAGCCCTGGGTAAAGGGAGATGACCATGACATACAATCAACCATTATGATCTGCAAAATGAGGACCCTAATACTTAAGTTACAAACCGGGGGCCCACTGGCCAAATCTTCCCTGCAATTGTATTTTGTTGGATCTATACTTTTTAGCAAGTTTGAATTAGTTGCCAAAATAGAAAGATTGGATATACAAATCCAGATTCCCAGCCTCAGAAAATCAGATGATCTGACCATATGGAGCCATAACCATTTCCATGTTAGTTTGCCACAGACCTCACTACTCTCTATTCTCATACCTGGTGTGTTTCATGCATGGAGCCCTCATTTCCATGTTAACAATTGGCCACAGTCCTCTCCACTCCCTACTATCATACCTAGCATGCTTTCCTCATTTATATTTGCTCTCTTTTGGCATGTGAGCTTTTGACCCCTGTTAACAATACTGCCCATTGGCTGAAACAAAAGCAAAAACGGATGGGAGAGTATCTTAGGGGGAAAAAGACAACACTAATATGGGGGTGACGTAACTATCACCACAGTAATATGGGATTTCCCTGGATGCTTTCTGCGCTTTTGCAGAAACACATTAATAGTATGATATAAAAACAAAACAAAAACAGACCATGAATCTCAAAACCCTGCCCCCACCCTTGCCTCCAAGGACTCCTCTCCCACTCCCAGATCGAACGCGCTGCCCCCCACAGTATCTGAATGCCCTGGCTCCTAGGATACTTACCTTTCCAATTTCATCCTTCAGTGTATACTGGTTCAGCTGAACACAATCCTGCAAAGTCAAAACACACAGAACACGGGCTGTAAGTCTGCAGCTAGATAAACCTGTCACAGACAAAACATCAGAGACAGGGCCTTCCCAGCTCCCTGGAAGCAGCCCGCCCTGGCTCCTCTGCAGGGTGACCCGTGTCCAGACTTCTAACAGCAGCTCTTTTACATTGCAAATATGTAACCAGTTTGTACTCCCCGAATACCCATTTTATTTTTTTAATTTTTTTAAAAATTATTTTTGTTACAGATGTTTCTCCTTTTTCCCCCATTGACACCCTCCTCCCGTTCCCACCCATTAATACCCATTTTAAAAAGCTTGTTCCCACTTATAAAAAATTCACGCTAAATTAAACAAGTAATCCATGACCACACTGTCCTGTAAAAATGTAAATTAATAAAGAAGTGACCTTGGGACGAAGTTTCTTGGATAATACAGAGAATGTACAGAACATAAAAGGAAACAAATTATACAACGGACTTCACCAAAATGAAAACTTTTGCTCTTCGAGATACTAGGAACAGAATGAAAGGCAAGCCACACATAGAACAAAACTATTTGCAGCACACACATCAGACAGAGGACCGGTATCCAGAATGTGTAAAGAACCTTACAACTCACTAGTGAGAGGACAACCCAAATTTTTTTTTTTTTAATCGGCAAAAGATTTGGAAAAACATTTCTCCGCCATGGCTGGTTTGGCTCAGCGGTTCGAGTGTCGGCCTGCGGTCCTGAGAGACCCGGGTTCGGTTCCCGCTAAGGGCATGTGCTTCGGTTGCAGTTTGTCACCGGCCCTGGTTGGGCTGTGCGGGTGGCAGCCACTCGATGTGTCCCTTTCACGTTGATATTTCTCGTACTTTCTCTCTCTCTTCCTCTCTCTCCCTCCCACTCTATCTGAACAAAAAATGGAAAAAATGTCCAAGGGTAAGGATTAAAAAAAAACATTTCTCCAAAGAAAATACAAATGATCAAGAAGCACATGAAAAAACACTCAACATCATTAATCGTGGGGAACTATAAATTAAATCCCCCCTCCTTCCCTCCCTTTCACTGTCTCTAAAAATCAAGGGAAAAAATATCCTCGGGTGAGGATTAACAACAACAAAAATCAGGTCGGAATTATGTGGAGAAGGGGAGGGAGATGCACTGCTGGGAAAAATCTGTGACCGTCATGGGGTGATGGTTTTACACATGTACACGCACCCCAAAACAGACCCCTTAGATTAAAATCAGGAAGACTGACCAAAACAGTTTTCACACACTGCAGGTGGAAACGTAAAATGGTGCAGCCTCTTTTAAAAACAGTTTGAAAAAAAATTTTTTTATCCTCACCCGAGGACATGTTTGCATTTATCTTCAGATAGAGCAGGAGGGAGAGAGGGGGGAAGAGAGAGAGAGAGTAACATTGATGCAAGAGAGACACATCAACTAGTTGCCACCCACACAACCCCAACTGGGGCAGGAACGAACTGTAACCGAGGCACGTGCCCTTAGTGGGGACCGGACCCGGGACTCTCTGGTCCGCGGGCTGACCAGACTCAGGCTCTAACCGCTGAGCCAAACCGGCCAGGGCATTTGGCAATTTCTTAACATCACTTACCATACGACCCAGCCATTCTACTCCTAGGTCTTTACCCAAGAGAAAGAGAAACACATGTCCAAGCAAAGACTTGTGTACCAATATTCACCACAGCTTTATTTGTAAAAGTCAAACACTGGAAACAACCCAAATGTCCATCGACGGGTAAATGGATAAACAAGCTGGGGCGCATCTGAATGACGAATTCTGTTCAGCAACGAAAAGGAAGGAACTACTGGTGTCTGCAACAGCAGGGCCAACCTCAACATCACACTGTGAAAGGAGATGAGCTAAAAGAGAGTGCATGAAAACAATCCCACTGCTATAAAATCCTAGAACTTTCACCCTGGCCGGCTTGGCTCAGCGGTTAGAGCGTCGGCCTGCGGTCTGGAAAGACCCGGGTTCAGTTCCCGCTAAGGGCACGTACCTCGGTTGCAGTTTGTCCCCGGCCCTGGTTGGGTCATGTGGGTGGCAACCACTCTATGTGTCCCTTTCACGTCGATCTCCCTCTCCCTCTCTCTCTCCCTCCCTCCCACTCTATCTGAACAAAAAATGGGAAAATGTCCTCGGGTGAGGATTAAAAAAATAATAAAAGAAATAAAAAATAATAAATAAATAAATAAATAAAATCCTAGAACTTTCAAATCTATAAAGATAAAAATCCCAGGTCAGCAGGCCCCGGCCCATGTGGTTCAGCGGTTAGAGTGTCAGCCAGAGGGCTGAAGGGTCAAGGGTTCAATTCTAGGTCAAGGGCACGTACCTGGGTTGTGCAGGAGGCAACCAATTGCTGTGTCTCTCACATCGATTTCTCTGTCTGTCTGTTTCTCTCTAACTCCTTCCCTTCCTTCCACTCTATCTAAAAATCAATGAAAAAATACCCTAGGGTGAGGATTAAAAACAACAACGGCCCGGCCAGTGTGGCTCAGTGGCTGAGCGCTGACCCATGCACCAAGGGGTCGCTGGTTTGATTCCTGGTCAGGGCACATGCCCAGGCTATGGGCCGGATCCCCAGTGAAGGGCATGCAGGATGCAAACAATCAATGTTCTCTGTCATTGGTGTTTCTCTCTCTCTCCCTTCCTCTCTCTCTAAAATCAATTAATAAAAAAACAACAACAAAAAAGCCATTCCTGATTTCCAGGCTTTTCCCAATTAAACTCATTCACTCATTCCTTCACCCAGTCTTTTCGAGCTCCTACTATGTGCCAGGGACACAACGGTGAACCAGACCGTCCCTACGGAGCTTACATAGCTCAAGGGAGACAGGCAATAAGCAATACACAGACACGACACAGTCAGATGGCGACAAGTGACGGCAAGTCAGCAGGGCCACCGGACAGAGGGCCCCAGGGCTGACAGCTGCTTAGAGAGGGCAGTCCGAGAGGCCTTTCAGGGGAGGTGACATTTGAGTTGACAGTTGGACGTCAGATGGAGGTGACTCTGCAACGATGGGAGACGTTCCAAGCAGAGGGGCCAGCAAAGGTATAGGCCTAACGAAGGAAATGAGCCTGGCTGTCGGAAGGGTATAAGGAAGTGGTTACGGACGGAGGTCTGAGAGTCGTCGGCAGCAGAAAGGCAGGAGACGGGGCAGGAGAAGAGATGAGGCAGGTCACACAGGGCCCTGTGACCCTGGTGGGGATGTGAGTTCCCTGTGACCCTGGTGGGGATGTGAGTTCTGATGCGCTTCCCAGAAGGTCACGGTGAGGGTCAAATGAGAAATGTACACACAGCACTGAGGCAGCTGCTGGTGCAGGCAAACCCCCAGCAAAGGGGGCCCTGCTAAGGCTGTGAAGCCTCTCAGCGCCCTGCCACCCCCAGGGCAGAGCCCCCACCGCGCTGCCAACCACAGCACATGCATCTTTGCTAAAGACTCTCTGGCCCCGAGCTGCTCTGCCCACACCCAGGGCGGGTCACCCACCCCCACAGCCTTCACCAGAGGCTGAGGGGAGTTGGTATAAAAGGCCCAGCTCCCTCGCCCTCGGGTGGGACATTATGCTCTTCCTGTCTCCCACGTTTCCTAGACAGATGGAGCCCCAGTTGCCCGTGGTAACCGGCTCCATAACTGCATCCTTTGCTGACTTCCCTCCCCACCTGGGTTTCCTGGAGTCACCTCCCAAGTCAGCTGTTTGCACCAGGAATGTTCTGGGGGAGCCCCCAGGCCCAGCTGTCGCTCACGCACCTGCAAACCGGTGATAGAGACGTGGTGGGACTCCACCGTGGGCCGCCGGGGCAGCCTCGGCGAGGACTGCGGGGAGCCCGCAGGCGAGGAGGAAGCTGGGTGGACGAAGCGGCCATTCACGTCCAACTGGGACCGCTCCTGCAGGGACAGCTTGCGACTGGAGAGGTGGGGCCGGGCCTGGGGCCCAGCGTCGGGGACTCCTGGGCCATCAGCCCCCAGGAGCCGGTCCCGGGCCAGGCCGCGGTCCACAGCGCAGCTCGGCTCACACTCGGTGACCACGATGAAGGACTCCATGCCCAGCCGGATGCTCAGGGACGAGAGGCCCCGCAGGGCCTCGCAAGGCTTCTGGCCTTCGCTGCTGCTGCTGCCCCCGCCCCCCAGCTCATCCTGGGGGGCGGCCCGGTCACTGCTGGGCTGACTAGAGACACATGATGACATGGTGCGTGCGCGGACCTCATCTGACTCGGACACGCCGGCGCACTCCCATCGGCGACGGGGCCACCTGCAAAGGAAGGGAGAAGGGTCAGCGGCCCCCACCTGCTGCTGACCCAGGCTGGGGCCTGCTTCCTGCCTGTGTTGACTCTCTAAAATAATCTTGCAAAACCTGATCTCTGGCCCGGCCGGTGTGGCTCAGTGGACTGAGCATCGTCCCCTGGACTGACAGGTCCTGGTTCCATTCCTGGTCAGGGCACACGCCCAGGTTGTGGGCTCGATCCCCAGTGGGGTGGTGCCGATCAATGTTTCTCTCTCACATCAATGTTTCTATCTCTCTCTTCCTTCCTCTCTCTAAACAATAAAAACATATTTGAAAAAAAAAAAAGAAAGAAAGAAAAACCTGATCTCTGAGTCTATGCAGAAATGAATACTCCACATTTCCTTATTTTAAAAGTCCCTCCTCGCCCTGGCCGGTGTGGCCCAGCGGTTAGAGCGTCGGCCTGCGGACCAGAGAGACCCGGGTTTGGTTCCTGCTAAGGGCACGGACCTCGGTTGCAGTTTGTCCTCGCCCCAGTTGGGGTCATGTGAGTGGCAACCAGTCGATGTGTCTCTCTCACATTGATGTTTCTCTCTCTCTTCCTCCCACTCTATCTGAAGATAAATGCAAAAATGTCCTCGGGTGAAGATAAAAAAAATTTTTTTAAAGCCCTCCTCACACACATAACAAGAATTCTGTAATTGCCCTGACCGGGTGGCCCAGTTGATTGTGGAGTGTCAACCCATACACCAAAAGGTTGTGGGTTCGATTCCTGGTCAGGGCACATACCTAGGTTGCAGCTTCTGGTTGAGGCATGTATAGGAGGCAACCAATCAATGTTTCTCTCTCTAAAAATCAATAAAAACATACCCTCGGGTGAGGATTTTAAAAAATAAAGAATTCCAAACTCAATTCAGAAGGAACCAAGTATGAGAAAACCCAAAAATAGAGCATGCAGGCCCCCCACAGAGGAGCGGCTATTTCCAGCTGAAGCCAACTGTTGCTAAGCAGGGATCTGGGCCTAGAACTGCCTGGCCTTCCCCCTCCTTTTTCTTTCTTTCTTCTTTTTAATTAGTCATTTCCTTTTTTTCAATCCTCACCCGAGGATATTTTTCTATTTTATCTTCAGATAGAGTGGGAGGAAAGGAGGGAGGGAGGGAGAGAGAGAGAGAGAAAAACATCAATGTGAGAGAGACACATTGACTGGCTGCCTCCTGCACGACCCACCCAGGGTCGGAGATGAACCGCAACCAAGGTACTTGACTCGACTGGAATCAAACCTGCGACTCTTTGGTCTGCGGGCTGAGTCTCTACCGCTGAACCAAACCAGCCAGCCCCGTTTTTTCAAAATAAGTCCTAAACCCAGATTGTTAGATGAGATCTCATAATTCTTTTTAAAATTAGCAATTATTACAAATACTTTTTTTTTTTTTTAATCCTCACCCGAGGACACTTTTCCATTTTTTGTTCAGATAGAGTAGGAGGGAGAGAAACATCGACGTGAAAGGGACACATCAACTGGCTGCCACCCGCACAACCCAAGCAGGGCCGGGGACAAACTGCAACCAAGATACATGCCCTTAGCGGGAACCGAACCCGGGTCTCTCTGGACCACAGGCCAACGTTCTAACCACTGAGCCAAACCGGCCAGGGCTGCAAATACTTTTGAATGCTGGGCAGGCCAAACGGAACACTTCGGCACGGTGACCTCCAGCGGCATCACTGGCCACGGCGATGATTCAAACTGCACTTTACAGTTTGCACAACACCTGCACATCAGCATGATCACACAAGCTCCCTAGGTTGTTGGTTTGCTACCAAAGCCCCATATCGTAAAAGGGGAAACTGAGGCTTGAGAGGAGGGATTTGTCCAAGGTCTCTTAATACAGAGCACAGGTGCACAGCAGTTTGGTCTCCCAGCCAATGATCCTCGACTGAGAAGTGGGGGTCAGGGGTCACATCAGGCAAAGGACAGGCGTCCAGACAGTGGGCCAGGGCAGTTTATGTTACCTAAGGAGCCAGGCTCACTACTTCTACTATCTGATGTTTTCCTAGTTCAGCCCCAAGCTGGTGCCTGGCGATGGAAGGCAAACATGAGGTCAAAAACATTGGTATCAACTCGCTTGGTGCTTCCTCAAAAAATTAAACAGAGAATTACCACATGACCTAGCAAGTCTGTTCCAAGGTATATACCCAAACAGCACCATGCATGATAGCCGAAACCACCCATCAACAGAGGAAGGGTTAGCACAAGGTGGCCCATCCACACAAGGCAGTAGCATCCCGGCCGAAGAAGGAATGGAGCCGACACCTGCTAGTCTAAACTTCAGAAACATCACGCTAAGTGAAGGAAGCCAGACCCAAAGGTCACATCTCTATGATTCTATTTATACAAAGTTCCAGGACAGGCAAATCCATAGAGGTAGAAAGGAGATTAGTGGCTGCCCAGGACGGGGGACGAGTTGGGCAGAATGGGAGTGACTGCTAATCCCCATTAGTGACTGCTAAGCCCCACGGGGCTTCCCTTCGGGGTGATGAAAATGTTCCAGAACTAGACAGACTGTGAATATACTAAATGCCACGGAACTGTATATTTTTAAGTGGTTAATTTTTTTAAAAGATTGACATACTCCCTTAGACTGTCAACTCCTTCCGTCTCTGGGACAGATGATTAAACTTTGGTTCATGTGCTTGACAAATTCTGCAGGACAATTGTCACAGGTGCCCCAGGGATTCAGGGAGCACATCCACAGATGTGGACGGTGGCAGCTTCGTGCTCATCAGCACGCTGCAAAGATGCTGAGTACAGAGATTTCACAAATAAATTATCTGCTGACGACACTGGGTGGCAGTAAGGGGATAAAGAGGAAGGTGCAGCAGAAAGCCAGTGCTGGAGGAACTGAATGGGGGGCAGAGAAATGCCACCTGCCCTCTTGGGGACGGTCCTGCAAGAAGAAGTTCAGGAACAGCCTGCATGTCAGGCAATCTGGACAGTGACACAGGCGGATGGAGTCCCTGCTTCTGAGAAACGAGTTGAGACCAATGGAACTGCGTTGAGGGAATAACCATGTGTCCCAGCCTGGACACCGGGCACAATTTATGAACACAGAATTCATGGTAAAGAAACAACGAAAACCCCATCATGTGACAAGGTGCTCGGCTGCAGTTACAGTAGGAGAATTACAAATTCAAACTATCACGAAATGGTTTGGTGGGTCCTCAAAAAGTTAAACATAGAATTACCACGTGACCCAGCAAGTCTTCCCCTAAATATATACCCAAAAGAACTGAAAGCAGAGCCCTGGCCAGTTTGGCTCAGCCGTTGGAGCATTGGCCCGCAGACCAGAGTCCTGGGTTCGGTTCCTGCTAAGGGCATGTACCTCAGTTGAGGTCTGTCCCCGCTCCGGCTGGGGTCGTGTGGGTGGCAACCACTCAATGTGTCGCTTTCACATCAATGTTTCTCTCTCTCTTCCTCCCTCTTTCCCTCCCACTCTATCTGAAGATAAAAATGCAAAAATGTCCTCGCGTGAGGATAAAAAATAAATAAAAAATAAGAAGAACTAAAAGCAGGGATTCATAGAGATACACAGACACTCACGTTCACAGCAGCATTATTCACAATAGCCAAAAGGTGCAAACAACCCCAGCGTCCATCAACAGAGGGATAAATAGAATGGGTCTACCTATACAACGGGATATTTTCTGATTTTTTTATCCTCGCCCATGCATTTATTTTAAAAGAGGTGACTCTATACATCCTAATACGAATTAGCTCCGAGACACAGTTACGGGGGGGAAAAAACCAAAGCATTAGTATGCAGCTGGCGTAGGGGGAAGGCCACGCGTGCGCACACGATTGTATTTGCATAGTATATTTGCAGAAAAGTACGCGAGAAAATGGTAACAGTGGCCCCAAGAGAAAATAACTGGCTTGCAGAAGTGCGAAAACTAGGTGGGAGGGACTTGCTTTTTCACTGTATGTATCTTTAGTGTAACAGTAAAAACTGAGAAATGAATTTTTAAAAGAAAGTAAGAAGGGAACCGTCGTCAGTATAGGACTTAAGATAACAAGGCCTAGCGTGTTACCTATGGGCGAGAGGAGGGGAGGGAGCATTTGATCCATCTCCTGTTCCCCTAGCAGCCCCTCTGTAGCTGAAACGAAGTCATTAACTGTGGCCCTGTCTACCTGCCAGGGAGTGTTCCAGAATGTTCCCATGGGTCCTGATGTCCGGAGCCTGGGCCTTGTGGCCCATCCTCGCTCCCAGAGCCACCTGCCAGGGCTGCAGGGTTCCTGAAAAGAAACCGAGCCGGGCAGCACCTGAGAAGGCTAATGGAGGTTTTTCCCCTGGCCAAGAGAAAAACAACTGCTTATTGATCTCCACTCCAGACCAAGGACACCAGGCCACCCGCCCACAGCAAAGCTGCTTTTAATCAGTCTCCTTGCCGAGCTGGCGTCTGGCCGCGGCCCTTGAGGTCTGGAGGAGGAGATACACCCTGGCTGGGACTGAGCTGGGTGCCCGGGGGCTGCGAGGGCAGGTGTCCTGGTCTCAGGAAAGGTTCAGACCTGGGTGCCTCGAGGCCGCCTGGAGGCCTCTGGTCTGCAGAGAGGCCCGGTAGGCAAGGGCCTGGCCCTTCAGCCTGACAACAGGATCTTCCGCCACTGACCCCTGCAGAGGCCAAGCCAGTGTTCTGACGGTTGTGGGGTCACAGACCTTGTAAGGTCATACGCCCTGTGAGGATTCACTGAAAGCTATCAACACTCTCCCCAAGAGGAAAAAGTACAAAAAGACAATGGTTTGCATGATAACGGCAACAGCAACACGCAGCTGAGCACGGACCAGGCACCAAGCCGGCTCTCTGCTCTGCCAGGTCACTGAATGCCCACAGGGAAGGGCTGCGAAGCCATACATTTCGGGGCCCCAGAGTAAGACGACCTTCCTGCCAAGGTGCTTGGGCTGGACAAGACGCCCAGAGCCCTCTCTCCTGAGCCTCCTGCCCCAACTCCGGGTCCCTCCCCCAGCCCAGAAGGCCTCCCACACTGCCCTTGGCTG